CACGAATGCGGTCGACCGGGCCGGTCGACCGCCACCCTGACAACATGAATCCTGAGCTCATCTCTTCAGAATGGAGGGCAGGAGAAAGTAGGGGAAGAGAATATGGAAGTTCACTTTGTTTGAGATCTTTTTGTTTTGAGAGGGGTCATGTAAAGGAAGCAAGGGAGAATTCATATAAATCGCATAAAAATATGGTCATTTTATCACCCCCATCCCAACCCACAAAAAAGTGTAGAGGAGGATAATGGAGGGAAAATAGTTATAAAAGAAGTTTGGTTGTTTATCATTATGGATTAACAATTGATATTTGATCATAGTATATTTTCTTTCCATCCCCTTCCCTTAGGACATGTTTGGATTTCAATGAGGTTAAGAGAAGTTAAGAAAAACTAAGAGAGAGAACAGAGGGAAGGGAAGGGGGTCAAGGGAGTCCCCTTCCCCTTGGTTGCACCCTAATTTGGGGGGTAATAAATTTTATGTTATTTGGGGGTGAACTAAGGGGAAATAGGGTTTAATAACTTCACCCCGTAAATGTTCCTAAATAATATGAATGATTACCCTAACTTCCCTTCTTTCTTACTCCACTCTATCCAAACAAGCTCTTAGTTAAAACTCTCAAACATGATAAAATAAGTTTTCCTCCATTTTCTCCAGTAAACTTCAAAATAAGATATTATATTTTCCCTCACGGTCACTAGCTTCCCCTTCCTTATTTTATCTTCCCTTTCCCTCCCTAGTGAACTCCTAACCACATTGTTGAAAGGGCTAGAAAAATCTGATCGGGGTGAATGTGGACAAATAGCAAATATTTAGATTTGAAAAATAAATATGCAAATAGGATAGATTTTCATGATATTTAAATAAAAGTTCCAAAAAAAAAAGGAAAGGTCAATTGAGCCCACCTACAAATCCACTCGAGTACTTATCCTATCACAAAAGGAAAAATAAATATGCTCTTATGCGGACGGTTGTGATAACAAGTCTAATTTAATTAACCCATCCACTTTAGACCCCTCTAGAATCCTCCTTAACTTGTCTACAAAAAACCTCTCCCCACTATCAGTTTAGACCCCTCTACAACCAGAGCTCAAATTCAGATAAGCTTCTGTGGTTTACATTATAAATCCATTAAGCCCTCGGTATATTACTTCAACTTATTAAGCCTCCGTGATTTTAGTATATTATTTCAACTTATTAAAATCAAAATTTTGGTCAGACTAAATTTAAAAATATTGCGAAAAGAGTCACATACGACTCACATGAGAGATGTATAATCCCTCGATCAGAGTCGGGGAAGATTATTAGGGGGGAAATGGTCCCGTTTGTTTTCTCTCTTGCAATCTTAAGTCTGGATAATCCTCATTCAACGTAATTTTTCTTTTATTCTTGTTTATGTTTTACTTAGAATGTCTTTGATAACTATTTGTTAATAAGAATAATTTCGACAAGATAAAAGTACCATGCCTTAGTTTACGAAGAACCATCATGAGGCTACATAGAACCAAAACCAACACCATAGGGATTTGGAAAATGATAGGGGTACACTCCCGATCACATCCCAAACCACACCCCCTCTCTCATATGCTACAGTGCACCAGGCCTCACATGAGATTTTAAAATTTTAAAATTCCATGTGGGACCCGTTACACTGTAGCACATGAGAGAGGGGGTGTGGTTTGGAATGTGGTTGGGGGTGTGTGCCTCTAGTGCCTCCCTAGGGATTTAATAGCACTTAATAAACCAATGGCACTTAACTGAATTTGAGGTTGACCTTCCGTTGCAAAAAATAGGAGGGCAAAATTGAAAACTTACACCCGGCCAGTACAGTATACTCGCATGCGGATAAAAAGTGTCATCAACCCACCCACTTTAGACAATTAGACCCCTCTAGAATCCTACACTCCTTGACATGTCCACAAAACAAACCTCTCCCCACTCACCCCGTCGAATCTCACCCCGATGAGCTCCTTCTCCTACCACCTTTACCAAAATGACCAAAATGCCCCCGTCTCCGTCCCAATCCAGTCCCCCTCGACCCCAACACTAACCCCAGTCCCAATCCATTACCCGACCTCGATCCTCACTTCCGCCGCCACCAAGATCCAATCCCGCTACCGCTCTCACCTCATCCGAACCCTGCTCCTCAAAATCCGCTCGGTTAACTCCCAAACCGATCGATTCCAGCGCTTGATCCAGCAGCAAGAAACGGTGGACTCCGTTCGCAGCAGCGAGAGGGAGAGGATCAAGTTGAACGAGGAGCTGATGGCGCTTCTGCTGAAGCTGGATTCTGTGCCTGGGTGCTTTGATCCTAATGTGAGGGAGCTGAGGAGGAGGGCTAGCCGTCGGATCGTGGAGCTGCAGGAGATTCTTGATGGGGTTGTAGGGGAGAAGGTTGACGATGTGGGGTTTGAGAGCTTGCCGAGGAGTTGGGGGGAATTATTGGAGAAGGTTTGGGCAAAAGAGGAAAATGAGAGGGGAGATGTTAGGAGAGGTAAGGGATGCTTCTGTTGCAAGGGGATGAGGTGCTTGGAGGAGCTTGTTAGGGAGATGTGAAGGATGTGAGGAATGAGGTGCTTTTGGGAAATTTGGTTGGTGAAAATGCATGTGGTTACTCATAGTAAATGTAAGTTTTTATAGATAGATATTGACTAATTATGTAAATCCTTTACTCCCTGTTTGGATTGAGGGTAGAGAAGGTAAGGGGAAGGGAAATTTTTGTTTACCTTTGTTTGAGAGTTCCATTGAGAAGGCTAGAAGAGGGGAATGTGGGGGAAATTTGAACTAAAATTTTAGCACCCAAATTGGGGGGTAAAGGAGGGGAAGGGAAGGAAGGAAAAAATTTCCCTTCCTTCCCTTGCCTTAGTCATCTCCCAAACACATCATTAGTATAATGACGCCTTAATGTTGAATATTGAGGGGAACCAATTATTTAATTGAAATAAGATGCATATAATGTCAAGGAAAAACTTTTAATGGTTCATATTGGACTGATCGCATTAATGATGTATCAAATAGTTCATATTGGACTGATCGCATTAGTGATGTATCAAATAGATGTATGCCATAATATACGCTCAAAGTGAACAATGTTCCTTACTAGGTATCTGTCTGATCATTGATGAGAGGATTCATGCATTTTGCACCTGTTGAAAATAGATATCTCTTCGATGATAGACTAGAATCAGATGATACTTTTCAGATATCATTATTTTGTAGCTTCCATTCTACTATTATTTACTCTCCCAATCTCCATTCAATGAAAGAACGGAGGCAGGCCTTTTTCTCCCTTTTTCCTTTTTTGCACAGTAAGTCATAGCTTCTATTAAAATTACATGAACAAAAGTCCCTCAATCACTGAATGAATGATCCTCATATCGAAGGATACAACCGCTGTTCTCAACAGTAACGCCGACACTATTCCCACAATTTACCTTGATGCCATTCGCTAGCTGAACAGGACAGGAGAAGCAAAGTCCTGCTGCTCGTTTCTCGCCAAAACATTTACCATGCCCAAATACTTTAGGCATCTGATAGTCATAGTACTATAAGCCCAGTACTCGTATTTGCTTATCGACGTCATCACTATCAGCATTTTAACAACGTATGCGACGCTTTGAGCGTATGCATCCGTGTCTTTAAACTTGTTAGTGCTACATCTGTATGAAGTATGTTGTGCATGAACAACAGTTGCTGATAGTAAGCAAGTTATGGTTATAATCTTTGCAATGGTAGCGTCCATGTCTGTTTTTTGACTCTTTTTTTTAGACATGCCCTTATTTTGCCTGCGGTTTGCTATATATATAGGCTGTTACTTTTTGTTTCTATGTTGATGATATTAATTCTTGTTCTCTCTTGGTAGAAATGAGCTTCTTGGTTTCTCTACCTGGTTTATTTTGCTTCTTTTGTTTGGTGTTTACAGGTGGAAGGTTTCTACAATGATTATATATGTTAGCCTTGTTCATGCGAGTTGTGTGTTAGTTAATGCCTGTTTTTTTTAACATTTGGATACTTTCCTTGATTGATTAAGTATATGGTGGAGTGATTAGGCTTCGTGGTTAATTAAGATATATGGTTGTATATTTTAGCATGTAGAAGGAAAGGCTTAAGGAAAACGTTTTCATATCCTATTCAATCAGGTGTTCCGAATATAATACTGGATATGACTAAGAGCTAGAACTCAACCAAAAAGAAATTGCTACTTGCATGCTGTTAAATTAGGGAAACATGCTATCGTATTTGTCTATATTTATGAAGTGATTATGATACTACTTGCATGCTGTTAAATTAGGGAAACATGCTATCGTATTTGTCTATATTTATGAAGTGATTATGATATCTCCTATCCTTCCATATTAACAAGAAACATGCTATCGTATTTGTCTATATTTATGAAGTGATTATGATATCTCCTATCCTTCCATATTAACAATGTGATGGTGAAGAAAAAACATCAAGGAAGACGAAGATGGGGCACTTATGGTTTGTAGAACCACAAGGATAATGAGGTGGTAAATTATATCTGAATAAAGATTTCGAGATGCCTACTAATGTCGGTTCTTCCAATTGTTTTGAATGTGAAACCTGGTCACATTAAAAAGGATTGTCCTTTGCGAAAGATTAAGTCAAATAATTTCAAAAAAGAAAAAGACATATGATGGTTGAAGGAATCATAACCACAACATGGCAAATTTGAGTTTAGCCAATCCTAATGTGTCTTTCATGGCTGAAGATAAAGACTCACGAGATGGCCTTTTATAGGAGAATCAGCTTTTAAGGATATCCTGTAGAAAATATTGATAAAAAAGAAGGTGAAAGATGGTTCTAGCTATGTCGTGCTTAGAGACAAATGAAGAAAACTTTGCTATTTTTCATTGTCACATATCACCGTTATAAGGGCATTTATGTTTCTAATTCGAAAATTTGTCGGGTTCACGATTGAGAGAATATAATGTCTGTGGTCAGATTCAAGTAATTGAGCAGACATGTCAAAGCCGACTGTGGATAATTTTTATGCCATTACTTTAGGATAAATACACGGCATTTGAAGTTCTCATTCTGCTCGACTTTGCTTATTTTTTGCGAGGTTGATATTTGCTTTAGTTATGTTACGTGTGTGAATTGTCATTTGTTTACTTGCGTTGATTGTTTAGGTATGTAAATGATACATTTGCTGCTGATAGCTCCAGGCAGATCTTGATCATTATCTACATTGATCATTTCTCCGCAGAGGCACACCAGTAATGACGAAAAATTAACGATGAAATATTTCTCTATTGGTATACAATAATGGCGTTGTTGCCCACAATAGCAGATAATGCTCGCAAATATGTTATTAGCAGTAGGTGTCTATGTGCTTGCTCTCGGCATAGGAATGATCATGGCCCAAAAATGTCCAGTGATCCACTTTTTGGCTTGTAATTCTTTGTTAATTTTCTCATTTTTGAAGTGTTGCTTCCTGCATCCTTTGTTTCGGTATAATTATTATTGTGACATAATCAAAAGAAAGTACAAAATTACTAAGATTGCGTATGACGAACCTCGGATGCTTTTTGGGAGAATTATAGAATCATCAGGTTTGCAGAGGAAAAAAAACACAATAGTTTTGAGTCTTTTGACGAACGGAATGATTTCAACTTTCTATTTCTTCGTAGATCTTTCAGTACTCTTGACATAGAAATCTCTGTACGCATCAAATCAATCAATATTTGGTGATTATAGCAAAGTTGATAGCTTAGTTCTTGTTTAGGTTTCTGTTCTGGCCTAAGGGCAAATAGTAAAAATTCTTTGGTTCTTTCATTTAGAAAAAAATAATTGCATAAGAATGAACAATTTTTCCAGGGAAAAAAAATTGCATGAGGATGATTAATAAATTGTAGCACTTACGTCCTCTCGCAACATTAGAACTGAATTGAATCTTGATAAATCAATTATGAGATGCTGATGTTTCTCTTGGCTATAAATAGCAGACACCGTGGCAATGCCCACTCCTCTTTCTCATCATCACAAGCATAAAAGATAATATCAGCATCCTCAGGCAACTTAAAGCTCACCCTCTTCCCGCTGACGCTACTTCTAGATGTCCAAAAGCTTTCTCTCGGATCACAAGACTCACAACTCACTGGAGAAACCTTTGCACATTGCCAACAAAGTTGCTTCGTGTAACACCGTAACACATATTTCCTCAATATCAAAGTATGTATATTTTAGCTCTTTAACATCACAAACCCCAGTTCACACCGTTACACAGTATTGGTTCCTGCTACGAATTTACTCGTAACAACGCAGGCTCCTCAACCAAAAAGGATATATATTTTGCAAATCAAAATTATTATCACTACTACACGCCTCTAAATGCAACAGCCAATTTCCCATCTCTTCTCCCTCTCCCTCTCCACCCATCAATCTCCATCCTACAAAATCTCCCACCATTTATAAAGAACCCTGCAGACCAGCTCTCATCTCGAGTACCCTCCATCTTCTTCGTGATATCGCGTTCATACATCCCAAACCATTTCTCATACATATACCCCTTAGTTCTCCAAGGGGGGATGTGCATGCCTGCACTCTTTATTGACTCTTTTGCTACAACGCACATTATGTCGATTACCTTCTTTAGGACTTCAGGCTTTGCGACGAACACTTTGGGTATGGATTTGAGGAGGGTGGAGTATTTTTGAGTTGGACGAGCAATCTCGAACTCAGATGATAGGTTGATTTCAATAATGTAGCGGGCTCCGTTGTGAGTTAATATGTCGATGTAGTCGTGATTATTAGTTCGAGTTGTCTGGTCCCGTTGAGATTTGCAGAGACCTGAAAGGCAATATTTAAGGGTTAGTAATGACTTGATGCTATAAATATGACTTATTTGTAGACCACTAAGAGTTTCGGCAACCCACCCAAAACTGAATTATGATTAGTCCGGACCTAGCTCTATCGTAAACCAGTTTTAGTTTTGGAGTGCGTCTAAGGGTTGGTCCAAACTAGAACTTGGTCCAAACTAAAACTGATTTGATTAGTTGTTAAAAAAAATTTGACATATAAAAATTAGGCTAATTAATTATGGTCCGGCTTTTTGTCAAATAAAAAGACACAAAATTGGGCTAAGTTTAGGCCTGGACCTATTTAAAAGGGTTGTCAAGCGCATCATATCAATAGTCTAAATTGATACGTATTGTTTTAGTTATGTCTTGAGTGTGCGTGTATTAATTGTAACCTTAAATTTTGATCAAAGGTTGTACTCATTTTTTCAATTGAGTGACAGTTCATAATATTGGACTAAAGCCATATCCAATTCATATTTTATTCAAGTTTAAAAAATTATATAAAAATGAGTGCCGCATCTAACATAAAAGTACATTCATATATCCTTTAAAAAAGAGATAATAATATGGTACAACCTATTGCGTTATATCCCTAATTTGATTGTAATTTATACTAAATACAATCTTAACATAATATTGTAAATAAAAAATCAATAATTAAGCAAGAAGTACTTTTTAATCAACAATTTTAAGAAAAAGACAAGCTGATCCATTACTTTTGTAAAACTTCTCATATTCTCATCGTATATTTCTTCCAAAAATTAATCAGACATATCAAACAAAATATTGATCGAACAAAATATACCATTAACAAAAACAAAACTAACCTGCATCATAACCTCTCTCTCTTAACCAACCCATAACCCTCCTCTTAACCTCATCCGTACCCGACCCGATAGCTTTCACTGCATCCTCCACCGCAACCCTAATCCTCTCACCCATCAAATCTTCACCCGAATCCGACATCACGGCATCCAGCATCTCCCTACAGTCTCTCGCTGCCGACCGGAACCCGATAACCCAGTTATCTCCCTCATCCCCTCTCCCTTCATAGAACGAGTCCACTAGCTCCGCTAACTCCGTCGAGGTCTCCGTCGCCGTCTGATCTAACGGCACCGTCGCCCACAGCCTCTCCCTTGCCGTCTCATCTAACGGCGCCGTCGCCTTCTTGTACTTTACTGGCATTTTGAAGAAATAATTTTTTTGTATATATTTATATTCTACTCGATATGGGGTTTTATAAGCGGGGGAACGACGACATGGGGCTTTAAGATTTTGACACGCGTCGAGTTGACTGATTTCGGGCACTTGCGACCGCCTCGTGAAGTTGGTGTAGTTTGCATGCAATGGTGCATGGGGAGCACGTGAGCGCCGGAGTCCACGTCGGCAATGGTAATTTAGGTGTTGGAATTACGTCTTGATTCACTGAATCAGGTGATAATACGTCTAGGTTCGATCTTCGATGTATTTAGATTTGATGAGTCCAAGTGCGATGAATATTTCTTCGTTTAGTTAGTTGTTTGCCATTAACTTCGGGGAAAATTGCTTGGAGGAACCAAATAAAATTGGGTTATGCATCCCCACCCTCCAACTAGAGTCAACCACTTGGGGGCACATTGACCCAAGTTTTCATGCTTTTACAATTTACACCCCAAACTCACTGCCCAAGAAATCCAATTCCCAAATTACCCTTCTTCCCAAGTTAAAACCCATTACTTTCCTCCTCAATCTGGCCCAAGACCTCACCCTCCCCCACCACCGCCGACGCCTCCACCCCTACGCCACCGTGTCATTGCCAACGACTCCTCGATCTTCTCATTTTTCTTCAGCGGGCGAGAGATCGGATCTCAAGCGGAGTTCGCGCTCTCCGACCCGAATCCGATAAAACTCCCAGGGGTACAATTCGACCTCCTCTCATTTCTCCATTGATTTAGCTTTTCTTCTCCGTCTATGATTCTGGGTTGCGGATCTTGAGCAATGCGGGACGGATCTGGGAGCACCCTTTTATCCATTCCGTTGAACTTTTGAATGAATTTTGTTGTTTGGTTAGGATAATTTGGATGCTTGATGGGGGGTTTCTTGATTAATTGGAATTTGTTTGGTTCTAGTCGTAGCTGTTAGCTTTTGGTTCTTTCTTGATTACCTAGGGTTTATTTTGCTGTGAAATTTATAAGATTGCTAAATTTCTTTCTGCGAAAAATAATTAATTTTGTGTTTTACGGCTAGATCCAATGGAAAATTTTGTTTCTTTGCTAAAGAATTTTGATGTAAAACTAGGAATTGAAGAAGTCTTCACTGGGTCCGAGCATTTCATGGAATTATGGTGAATTATTCATTATAAAAATAGAGGATCTAGTGTAATGTCACTTTAACCACTGAGGATTATTTTCTGGGTTAAAAAGAAATGAACTTTATCTGTAATTTTATCCAATTACTGTTAGTCAATAGTTTTCCCCAATTGCAAGATATTGATTTGGGACTCATACTTCTCTTGCTCTTGTTTTCTTAAATATTTATTTATTGTTTCGTGTTATAGGTATTTGGCAATTTAGTCTAGGTCAATTCTGCAAATTTTACGAGTTCTGATTGTTGTTATTTGGTCAGCAGTAAGAGAAGAAAAATTTGTAACATTGAAGGCACTCATTCTTGTTGGAGGATTTGGAACCCGTTTGAGGCCGTTGACGCTCAACGTTCCAAAGCCGCTCGTTGATTTTATGAACAAACCCATGATCTTGCATCAGGTATAAATGCTTTGCCCCGTCTATATGAATCATACTTTGGTTGTGTTAATGAATAATGAAGTTTGATGTTAAATTTTTTTAAATTTCAGGTGTTAGAAGTTAGTCAACAAGCCTTGATGGGAGAGGAATTAACGAAAAACCCTTGCTTTGTGAAGTATGACAAGCCATCTTAGAATTGCTCCAGATGTCCTTTTATGGAAGTCAACTTGCTTATGTGACATATGCTGGTTTCATGTGACATATAACGGTTTTATGTCACATATGTTGTTTTATGTGACATTTGTTGTTTATACGTGACATTTTGCTGTTGTATGTAATATTTGAGTGTTGTATGTGATATTTGGGTGTTGCTTGTGATATTTATTGTTTATACGTGACATTTGGGTGTTGTATGTGATATTTGTGTGTTGCTTGTGATATTTGTTGTTTATACGTGATATTTGGGTGTTGTATGCGATATTTGGTTATAATTTGTGATATTTGGGTGTTGCTTGTGGCATTTGCTATTTATACGTGATATTTGGGTGTTGTATGTGATATTTGGCTGTAATTTGTGATATTTGGGTGTTGTTTGTGATATTTGTTGTTTATACGTGACATTTGAGTGTTGTATGTGATATTTGACTGTAATTTGTTGATAGTGAATGTGCTTATTTGTCACATGGCTGTAATTTGTTTATACATGACACATGACTGTAATTTATTGCATGTGATATTTAGATCTAATAGAGTAATTCCACATTCTCCTTCATCATCATCCCCCTATTCTTCTTCACCCACTAAGACCCAGGAATCAATAACTCATCCTTCAAATACTCTGACACTCCTCTTCACCTTCAACTCAAACTCTCCCTTTTCACCATTCCACCCCTGCAATCGCGTGCAAAATCCCCGGCAGATTGTGTCAAAATACTCCGACACTCCTCTTCACTGTATCATATGTCACACAGAACACCAAAATATCACATAATAGTAGCATATGTCACATAACAACCATAATTTTGAGCTTTGAATTAATAGAGTAATAAAACTTTTTCGCACTTCGATCTAAATAAATTTACATCAATACTTAGTACCCAAACATAGATAAACATGCCAAAGATAAACCAAATCAAATCCAATTATTCAAACACCTCCAAAATATTTGTAGGACAATCCACTTTTAGACCTTCCCCGCTTCCCAATAGCAGAAATATCATATACAACACCCAAATATCACATACAACACCCAAATCTGTCGGGGATTTTGCACGTGATTGCAGGGGTGGAATGGTGAAAAGGGAGAGTTTGAGTTGAAGGTGAAGAAGAAGAAGAATCAACACCAGGTTTCAATTTCAAATCACCACATTATAGTTACATGTGTTTGTCTAATACTTCCACTCAATCAATGGTGCATTATTACCCCCAAGTACAAAAGATATTCTGGCGGAGGATGTGAAATGACTCTATTAGATCTAATATCACATTCACTGTCAACAAATTACAGCCAAATATCACATACAACACCCAAATATCACGTATAAAAATCAAATGTCACAAGCAACACCCAAAAATCACAAATTATAGCCAAATATCACATGAAACACCCAAATATCACGTATAAATAGTAAATGTCACAAGCAACACACAAATATCATATACAACACCCAAATATCACATACAACACCCAAATATCACGTATAAATAACAAATGTCACAAGCAAGCCCCAAATATCATATACAACACCCAAATGTCACATACAACACCCAAATATCACATACAACAACCAAATATCACATACAACACCAAAATGTCCCGTATAAACAACATATGTCACATAAAAACAATATATGTGACATGAAACAGTCACATGTCACATGAAACTATCATATGTTACATAAGCAAGTTGACTTTCATAAAAGGACATCTGGAGCAATTCTAAGATGGCTTGTCACATGAAGGACAAACAAAATTTTATAGTAAAATTAAACAAGTTGACTTCCATTTCCTTATCAAATTTTACAAACCGATGAACTCTGTTAACCGTTCAAAAGACAAATTTGTACAAAACCAACTATACTAATAACCACATTGGAAGAGGTTCCATCAAAGTTTCTCAACCAATGTGACAAATTTTGACACAATCTGCCGGGGATTTTGCACACGATTGCAGGGGTGGAATGGTGAAAAGGGAGAGTTTGAGTTGAAGGTGAAGAGGAGTGTCAGAGTATTTGAAGGATGAGTTATTGATTCCTGGGTCTTAGTGGGTAAAGAAGAATAGGGGGATGATGATGAAGGAGAGTGTGGAATTACTCTATTAGATCTAAATATCACATGCAATAAATTACAGTCATGTGTCATGTATAAACAAATTACAGCCATGTGACAAATAAGCACATTCACTATCAACAAATTACAGTCAAATATCACATACAACACTCAAATGTCACGTATAAACAACAAATGTCACAAACAACACCCAAATATCACAAATTACAGCCAAATATCACATACAACACCCAAATATCACATACAACACCCAAATATCACATACAACACCCAAATCTGTCGGGGATTTTGCACGTGATTGCAGGGGTGGAATGGTGAAAAGGGAGAGTTTGAGTTGAAGGTGAAGAGGAGTGTCAGAGTATTTGAAGGATGAGTTATTGATTCCTGGGTCTTAGTGGGTGAAGAAGAATAGGGGGATGATGATGAAGGAGAATGTGGAATTACTCTATTAGATCTAAATATCACATGCAATAAATTACAGTCATGTGTCATGTATAAACAAATTACAGCCATGTGACAAATAAGCACATTCACTATCAACAAATTACAGTCAAATATCACATACAACACTCAAATGTCACGTATAAACAACAAATGTCACAAACAACACCCAAATATCACAAATTACAGCCAAATGTCACATACAACACCCAAATATCACGTATAAATAGCAAATGTCACAAGCAACACCCAAATATCACGTATAAATAGCAAATGTCACAAGCAACACCCAAATATCACAAATTACAACCAAATATCCATACAACACCCAAATATCATGTATAAACAACAAATATCACAAGCAACACACAAATATCACATACAACACCCAAATGTCACGTATAAACAACAAATATCGCAAGCAACACCCAGATATCACAAATTACGGCCAAATATCCATACAACACCCAAATATCATGTATAAACAACAAATATCACAAGCAACACACAAATATCACATACAACACCCAAATGTCACGTATAAACAATAAATATCACAAGCAACACCCAAATATCACATACAACACTCAAATATTACATACAACAGCAAAATGTCACGTATAAACAACAAATGTCACATAAAACAACATATGTGACATAAAACCGTTATATGTCACATGAAACCAGCATATGTCACATAAGCAAGTTGACTTCCATAAAAGGACATCTGGAGCAATTCTAAGATGGCTTGTCATACTTCACAAAGCAAGGGTTTTTCGTTAATTCCTCTCCCATCAAGGCTTGTTGACTAACTTCTAACACCTGAAATTTAAAAAAATTTAACATCAAACTTCATTATTCATTAACACAACCAAAGTATGATTCATATAGACGGGGCAAAGCATTTATACCTGATGCAAGATCATGGGTTTGTTCATAAAATCAATGAGCGGCTTTGGAACGCTAAGCGTCAACGGTCTCAAACGGGTTCCAAATCCTCCAACAAGAATGAGTGCCTTCAATGTTACAAATTTTTCTTCTCTTACTGCTGACCAAATAACAACAATCAGAACTCGTAAAATTTGCAGAATTGACCTAGACTAAATTGCCAAATACCTATAACACGAAACAATAAATAAATATTTAAGAAAACAAGAGCAAGAGAAGTATGAGTCCCAAATCAATATCTTGCAATTGGGGAAAACTATTGACTAACAGTAATTGGATAAAATTACAGATAAAGTTCATTTCTTTTTAACCCAGAAAATAATCCTCAGTGGTTAAAGTGACATTACACTAGATCCTCTATTTTTATAATGAATAATTCACCATAATTCCATGAAATGCTCGGACCCAGTGAAGACTTCTTCAATTCCTAGTTTTACATCAAAATTCTTTAGCAAAGAAACAAAATTTTCCATTGGATCTGGCCGTAAAACACAAAATTGATTATTTTTCGCAGAAAGAAATTTAGCAATCTTATAAATTTCACAGCAAAATAAACCCTAGGTAATCAAGAAAGAACCAAAAGCTAACAGCTACGACTAGAACCAAACAAATTCCAATTAATCAATAAACCCCCCCATCAAGCATCCAAATTATCCTAACCAAACAACAAAATTCATTCAAAAGTTCAACGGAATGGATAAAAGGGTGCTCCCAGATCCGTCCCGCATTGCTCAAGATCCGCAACCCAGAATCATAGACGGAGAAGAAAAGCTTAATCAATGGAGAAATGAGAGGAGGTCGAATTGTACCCCTGGGAGTTTTATCGGATTCGGGTCGGAGAGCGCGAAATCCGCTTGAGATCCGATCTCTCGCCCGCTGAAGAAAAATGAGAAGATCGAGGAGTCGTTGGCAATGACACGGTGGCGTAGGGGTGGAGGCGTCGGCGGTGGGGGGGGAGGGGGAGGTCTTGGGCCAGATTGAGGAGGAAAGTAATGGGTTTTAACTTGGGAAGAAGGGTAATTTGGGAATTGGATTTCTTGGGCAGTGAGTTTGGGGTGTAAAAGCATGAAAACTTGGGTCAAGGTGCCCCCAAGTGGTTGACTCTAGTTGGAGGGTGGGGATGCATAACCCAATTTTATTTGGTTCCTCCAAGCAATTTTCCCAAAAAAAAGAAGAAATGTGTACGCATCAAAACACATCTCTATCATTTATTTTTTTTATGTAATTCGTGTATGTACAATGAAGAAGCATCCATCAGGAATAATAACAAAGTTATAGCTTGGTAAGAGGATGACAAGTATAGTTAATGACAATACTTAACTAAACTAAATGGTTTATGTTGCGGATCTTAAGATTTTGAGTGAATTATAATTTACTGTTGTTGTGGTTATAAATTATCATGCGTTGTCTTTATATAAAGTTGTTAATAATTAGCATATTTACCTTGAGTCGTAGGTAATCGAGGACCCATTGAGGTTATCGAGGGCAATGGTGGGGGTGGGGAGGAGAAGGAGGTCTATGGGTTGATGAAGAGTTGGGGTGCGTGCCGAACTAGCACTTGCTTGGGTTTTTGGTTAGAGGGTTGAGGAGGTTGAGGGATGAGGAGGGGGCGAAGATGGTGGAGAGGGATCATGAGGAGCGAGGGATGCCAATGGGAAGTTGGGGAAGGTTGAAGAGGGGGAGGAGGAGATGGGGGTGGTAGCTGTTTGATGAAATGCCCAAGTGAGTTTTTTCCTCCTTTTTTATTGCTTTTCTTTAGAGGGGTTATCTTTGAGTTTGTTATATTTACTAGGAAATCGATTTATGATGTATTTGGTTCTTGTAATTGCAAATAAATAAATAAATAAATAAATATCGCATCTCCATTACGTAGAAGAGTGTTTGCTTCGCCCCAACTCCAGGGTTTGTATCTGTAGTTGCATGCAACTACCACATTTTTGGGCTATTGTGATTGCAAAGATATTGCATTTGCAATAGCCTGAGGACTGTTTGGTTAGCTACAAGCCTACAATGACAAGTGTTGTAATTGTAGTTGCATGCATGATGCGGGACGGAGGAGCACCAGAACCCTCGGGTGAACAATATCCGTAAATAGTATCTTTTCTTTTCTTTTTTCTTTTTAAAAAAAATAAAAGACGAACAAAGTAAGATAACGTGAGGTTAGACCGGATTCACTCATAAACATTTATCCGTTAGTTAAGCTGGATTCACACGCTGACACTTAAGCCTTTCGGCTTCACACCGAGAAACAGTGACTTCCGCTTTAGAAAATCATGTGTCACACAAGATTTTCTTCAACTCAACTTTCATAAATTCTTCATAAGCTCTCTACCATATTACAGAAATCTCCTCCCTCTTTTATAGAGTTTGGAATTCTTATCTAAAACAAATTCAAAAGTTTATCCTATCTCTAAAACTAATACAATCTTGGCTAGAAAATAATCCAATAAACACAATCCTAGCACAATTCAAATCAAAACAACTAAACAAAATAACTAATTGTCACCTATCTAAAACAAAAACCAAATCTAAATTTATAACAAATCTATCTTTAATCCAGATCAAATCTAATTAGTGATTGTGTCCTGCATCAATGCAGCTGGTATGTTTTGATGGAATTGCTTATTTTGCTAGAACTACAATTACAAAAAGGCATCTGTTTGCATTAGACTTGGGTGTAAATCCCACTCGCAGCGCTTTTGGTTTGAAAACGATGTCTAAATTATAACTATAACAGTACAAAATAGAATTGAATTAAGACATTACGAGATTAGCAACTACAACTGCATGTGATAGTAACTGCTACAATTGCAGATGCATGCAACTGGCATTTGCATTGCAATCACGAGCCAAACAATCCCACATTGCTCAACTTACATGAGCTGGAGGTGCAATCTGATGTTTGGATAGCATTTTCCTCCAGTGCAATGATTGATTATTAAAACAATTTAATCAGTAATATCAGTTTTTATATTTTTTTTACAGTAACAAAACTAGTCAAAATAGGATCAATATGGTACCATTGCTGATGTGGATGCTACTAGACACACATCGTAGTAAGTCGTTCTAATTTGACTCATTTGCATGTAACCAAACTACATGATTTTTTGAGTCCATAATACGATTACAACTACAAGACGCGGTAGTAAAATCAGCAGCCAGCAAGTGTTCCTGCTTGCATTGTAATTGGAGTAACATGTGGCTCCAACTACAGGCAAGCAGACACCCCGATAATCGTTTCATATGGTCTAGATAAATATTGATTACAGATATGGGTAGTATGATTCCAACTACAACGAGATGTATAATGTATATCAGTCAGTAAAAGATAGGAATCAAAGTTAAATATGGTTGCATGTGGTTGGAGGTTTCTGTTATTAGGAGTGAAAATGCATCATCAACTAAAGAATTTATAAGTACTTGCTTATGTTTCATGCAGTCAGGGGCGGACCGGGGCAATCACGCCCCTATAAATTTTGAGATTGCATCTAAAGCTTCCTAAATTTGCTATCCGCCCCCCATAGTTTGCTATTTGTCCTTCCCCTATGATATCTGTGTTGCGATAAGTACTAGTTCACCAGTTTCCTCTCTTATGTCTATATGGTTAGCTATTAAACAATTTGATTTGGATTCTTGTGATTTCTATCCTTCTCCCTCTATTTTGTTGAGTTACAGAATGCTAATTCTCATCTATTTGAGAATAGACACCCTGTGCTTTCGCCCAATTATGGATAGACCCCTTGTAGTTCCATTGGCGCATATAGACCCCCTTACTATTTGTTGGATAGATCTCGTGACTTAATACTTTTCGATCTTAAAAGAGTCATAAAAAAACTGACTCTTAAAAAGAGTCCAAAAAAATTCATCTAGGGGTATACCCGCACTAATAGAACTACAGGGGGTTCGTATGCAATTTTACGATTGTACAAGGCTTCTATCCGCAGTTAACCCTTTACATTATGGTAAATAGTTCACTAAGGCTACGTTTGCCAAGGAGATAAATGGGAGATTAAGTGGGTTTAACCCTTCATTAGCCTGCCAAACAGAAACAATAAGGGAAGGAATAACCATCCCGCACGTGAGCCCAACAGCCCCTTTAACCCGTCATAACAAGGTATAACTATTCCTCTTAGGGGCTGTTTGCTTGCCAAAAAAAAGAAGGAAATCAAGGAATAGGAAACCTATTTCCTTAAAAAAATGTTTTATAGTTGTTTGGTTGGTTAAAAAAAGAAGGAAATTAAATAATAGGAGATGAGATGAGATGAGTTGTCACAATATTATTGGATAATGTGAGTAATTTTTTAAAAAAAGTTGTTTTGAGGTTGTTTGATTGGTTAAAAAAGAAGGAAATCAAAGAATAGGAAACCTATTTCTTATAATAGGTTTTTCTCTTGTGTTTGGTTCATTCTTAAAAATAGGAGATGAGATGAGATGAGATGAGTTGTCATTATATTATTGGATGATGTGACCCACACTTAAGGAAATCAATTTCCTTGTTTTTTTGGAGGAAATGGGTGGAGATGAAAGTTAAAGGAGATGAGATGAGTTGTCACCATATTATTGGATGATGTGATTGATTTTTAAATATGAGATGGGATGAGATGAGATGAGTTGGATGATGTGATGATAAAAATAATAATTTATTAGATGTTGGATGATAAAAGTAATATTTTATTGGATGAGTTGGATGATAAAATAATATTTTATTAGATGAGTTGGATGATAAAATAATATTTTATTGAATGTTGGGGTAAGTTTTAAGGATGGAAATGGTTGAAAATAGGAAATGGGAGATTTCCATGCTCCCATTTCCTATTCTTGGTTTTTAGGAAACCAACCAAACAGCCCCTTAAGAAGGCGGAACCAGGCTTGTTCCGCCTTCTCATGCGAGGGTAGGCGTTGGAAAATTTTGGCCGATTTTTTCATCTTGATTTTGGGCGGAAAATTTTGGGCGATTTCCCCCAAATCTTGTGAGAGATCCTGTAAAAAATTTCCCCCAAATTGTTTCTCTCTCCTTCTTTCCCTCTAAAATTTCCCTCCAAAAAATTCCCTCTTCTTTTTTCAAATCTTTATCAAACAATGAAGAAGAGAGAAATTTTCTTTTTCATAGTGGGATTTCTCAGCCGACGGGAGGCGAAGGAGTTGAGGTACATTATTGCTTCTGAAGCGGAAATCATAGTCACAGTCTCAATTATAGAGAAGAATGAGTTCGAGGAATTATTGATAATGGCAAATTTCACTGGTTTATAATTTTTTATAAATAATAATTGTTTCTCTCTTTATTTCCTTTAATTTGTTGGATTTAGCGTTGTGGTTGTTATTGTTACTTTGTTTTGTGTTACCTTGCTTGTTCAATAATAAAGATGATATCTTGAAAATTTCTTAATTGAAATTTTATTTACTACTTAAATTGTCGCTTCTAGGGTTTAATGGTGCATCACCTCTGTTGATTTGCTACTTTTTTGGATGAGAAAATGGATCGAATCACGCCTAAGAGTAAATAATGCCTTGAATCAGCTAAATTCTTCTTTATGATGGTTATTTTTTTGTCGCTAGATTAAATATGCTTTATTTGTTATTATCAAGAAAGATGTTTCCATCTAGATAATGTTTATTGTGGCTGTTACGTTTAATCCAGTGCATCTGAAAATGAGAAGTTGATGTTATCTCCTATAAAGTTTTTGAAGTAATTTGATAAACAATTTATAGTTGGTTTCGGTTGGCTCTTACTGCTAGATAGAAAAAACTTTTGGTACATCAGTTCTTTTCTAAATTGATATTTGTAGTCAATACGGTATCTGCTAAACGCACTAATGGTTACTCCCTTGAGACTAATTAATAATAGTAGAGACTGAAGAAGTTGAAACTGGGAGTGGATGAGAACTAAGTTGATACATTGCAGCGAACTTGAAAAACTAAACATTTAAATGCGTGAGAATAACTATCATCGGTAGTTCCAAGTATGCATAGACAGGATATTTGCATGTTTAGCTCATGATTCTTCTTTCTTTCGATTTATTTTCAGTCTTACCAAAATTTTCTGAGGTTTTTGAAAGATCCATGTCATGATTCACAGCTTGATCCAGGACATTTTGACTTCCATCGGGTAGGGCTCATCTATGCTTATTTGGATATGTGACGATAGTTTCAGTGAGTTCGACTATGTAGAAATTCCTTATATTAATGCATGTTATAGTACTTTCAGAAAAGGTTGTGCACGTATTTGACACAATTACACTAGTGTAGAAATTCCTGATATCAATGCATGTTATAATTTCAGAAAAAGGTCGTGCACGTTTCACCAATCAACAAAACTGCAGTGGTATGAATAACTTGAAATACCAATGGGAATGATGCATTTGCTTTGGTGGTTTAGTATTGTTCACTTGATTTTTCTTATTTTCTTTTTATTGGCTAAAAGCAGTTTACTATAATTTTGGCACCTGTTATAACTTTTCCTTTTATTTCAAGCTATATACTTATTTGGTAGCTAAGAGAAGCCATCTCTGCATACAGTATGAAAATTATTTGTTCTGGAATTTGCTTGTTGGTTGTTTAGTATTCTGCCAGTCTCATGGATAATGAGTGATGGAAACAAGGATCTTATCCTTTCTTGTTACTACTAGTGGCTGAGTGGGTGGGATGGGGTTATCTTCTGGCTTGACCGGTTTCAAGTGGCTTGAGTCCATAATTTAGACAAAAGCCTGACTTACTCAACTAAGTAGTGTAGGTGCTTGAGCAATCACAAACCATATAAACTTTTCTGCCTACAAAAAAATCATAAAATGTATCAGAAGTTTAAGTAGTATAACTTTGTAACGTGCTTAAATATATCAAATATGATTGTTTCTATGTTTAAATGAATGTTGATCATAGCTGTAATTATAATTATAATTTCTTCATTTTCTAATCCTTTCCTCTTCGTTTAACATGAAATTTTGTTTTGATTTAAGATTTCAGGCTGTTACATGTCTGATTCCATTCTGAGTTAACCTGTACTCATTTCTTTCATCTGGTTGTGTCTACTTTATAACTTATCATGTTCAAAGTCTTTTTAGACGATAGTTAGACCTCATGCAGCTCAATCTAAGTTCTTTGCCTTATAAATCGATGTTGTTTATGAATGTCAATCCAGGACCCAAAGTTAACATCCAGGACCTAAAGTTTTCAATCTGATTAAGACCTTTGATACATGACTAATATTATGATACATGACTGATGCCAAAATTATCATGTCTGATGAAGTGGCATAATTCCATGATAGTCACCCTGGTAGCAAGTCGGCCAAAATTATCTGATTAATTCTACCTTTCTTTGTGCATCCTCATTTACTAATGGTAGCAAGTCGGCCAAAATTATCTGATTAATTCTACCTTTCTTTGTGCATCCTCATTTACTAAACTAGTTACAATCCATTCTCTGATTAATTCTACCTTTCTTTGTGCATCCTCATTTACTAAACTAGTTACAATCCATTCTTTGCAACAATTTGTCTAATTTTTTTCCGTTTTTAATTTGGTTGAAGATGAATTCATTTGAAGATTTTGCAATTGATCTTAGTGTTGATGATATTGAAGCACTTGATGATGAAGATGATCTTATAGAGGCGTTGCTTTTGAATGGTTGATGATATTGAAGCACTTGATGATGAAGATGATCTTATAGAGGCGTTGCTTTTGAATGATGAAGATAAGGATGAGTACATGTGGAACGATATGATTACAAGCGTCATTCATCAATCAAATGTGATGAAGCAGGTTCCTCGACCTAGTTGAACTAGGCCATTCTCTGGTCATATGCTTGTAGAAGATATGTTTATATTATGCATTCAGGAGCTCCAATTTGTTTGTCAGCTCACTTGGAAGATGACCCATGTGTTGCATTCAGGAGATTATCGATGTTTGTCAGCTCTCTTTACTTTGAGCTTCCTGTTCTGTGTTCGGAAGTTTGCAACACAGCTCATTTCTGCAGCAGGAGCACACTAATTAAGGTGCTCACCTATGTTTCTGTTCCTGTTTTGTGGTTTCAGTTGCTCCTCTACTCTAGTTTTCTGGTTTTCCTTCTTGACTTTGATCCTTTAGTTTGTGGAAGGAGTAGTGGTCTTCATATCGTATCAGATTTCTATGTGTATCCCGTAGCGGACCAGTCCACCTTGCCCTGGGAAAGGGCGAATCAGGTTCTGGACATGGTATTTTCAGGCTTCAGCTTTTCTGCATTAGAGGAACCGACTATGATGCTGATGCTGGGTATTTCGGCTTCGGTTTCAAACTGTAGTAGCGATTCTAGTGATTCCTGGGCATGGGGATTGATTTTGGTTTTCCTGCATTTTCATTTCAGCGTTATTTCAAAAAAGATATTAATCCCTCTTGTCTCATCTGAATTACATATTAGTGTTTCAAATATTTGAAATTGCTCAGAAGGTAAATAACGTGAAAATAATATTAATGAGGCAATTAGTTATAAATTTTCAGTAAGGATGAAAGTGGTATTTTTAAAAAAATAATAATGAGATCAATCTCTTTATCCGTTCTTCTTTTGCCAAACACGAAAGACTTAACCCATTGTCTTAGCTATCAAATCCAAACGGAATTAGAATATTTTTAACCCTTCACAATGGATTAACTAAGTTTAACCATTTTCCTTATTCTCTCTTCCTTAACCCTTTTCCAAACGCAGCCTAAGAGCACGTATTTTCTACTCTTTACTTTGAAAAGAACCGTCTGCTATTATTTAAACTCTTTTTTTGATCTTGCAGTTATGATTGGCTTTCTTCGTACTATCTTATAGTTGTCTCAGTTGGGACACTGCAACTGGATCTTGAACCTTGAACCATGAGATCGGGCATATATACCGTCCGTGGAACATGATATTGAACTTGAACTAAGGGCAATGAGTTGTACCGTAGCAATAAGATCAAGCGTAACCATTTGCTAAGGTTATCTACAAAGCAGGGAACTCATTTTCCAATGTATATTAATGTTATGAACCCTGAATGAAAAGATGAAGATTTTTCGGATATGTTTTGATTTGAAACTGATTCAGCAAAAATGAGTGCCCAGCTGATGCTAATTCTTCGTCTGAAAATTTATTCAATATGTTTTCCTATTGCGAGATCTTTTAAACTAACACGTATATTATTTCTCTCCCTAGTTTGCTCTCTATATTCCTCATTCAACATATCTCTGCAGCGTACACCACTGCCTGGTTTCTCGATTTAGCGATTATTTGCCTGAGCTTTTGTTGGTCTGATGTTGGGTGTATTAGCAAAGAAAAAACCCGCATTCAACCGATTCTAGCATCAACATTGGATTGCCATGGTGGGATCCTCTACATCCTAGGTTGTAGAGGATGTCTATAACTCTCCAATATCATTCTCTCTATGGACTCAATATATTATATTAATTAAATAAATTATATAAAAACCTTCTTAATTATGGGGCCCATTATATTAACCAATTTTATTATCCACCTATACAATAGGTAGGTAATCTCTACAATTTAAGATGTAGAGGGCTTCTTCTCCATTGGACGAGGCTTTCTACATTGACACCCCTTCATTTTCTCTTTAAAAAAAAGTAAATTCTTTTTACAACTCATTCTCGCTCTTAACTCTTTCGTTCATCCTTAATCTATTTAATATTCTTTCTCTCCAACTCACCTTTGTATTCTCTTTAAAGTTTTCTTCTACCACTCCTTCAGTTAATACTTATCTCTCCCTATGGCAGTTTAATATCATAAAATCCCTCTTAACTTTGAATGATTATCAGAAAACTCTCCTTAACTTTGAAAATATCAAAAAACACCCATTAAGTATAGACTTTATCAGAAAATCTCTCTTAACTTTGAGATTTTATTAGAAAACCCCCCTAAATTAAGGGGGTTTCTGGTAAAAGCAATAAGTTAAAGGGTTTTTCTGATAAAATCAGAACGGTTAAGGGGATTTTGTGATCCTCCCGATACTTAGGGGGCTTTTATGATATTTTGAAAGTATGGGGGCGTTTTCTGATAATTGTCCAAAGTGATGGACGCACGGGTGCTTTCTGATGTTTTAGCCTTCATTTTTTGTACAGGCTGGGGCGTTTTTTTTAGCAAGTTATTAAATATAAAAACTTGACTTCCACAATAATGACCCGGCCCATCTCCAGCTAATCACGGGTATAAAATCTACGGATCTCTACCATTCCCTCTATAATTTGACCCAAACCCGACCCGTTATAACTGGAGTCGGTTCTTTGACAGCGTACATCTCACGCTCAACACTCCATAAAAACTCCTGCTCTCTAATTTCTTCCCAGAAATAAGCTTTCTTTTCCCCCTCTCAACTTCCTCAAGAGTCTTCCCGTGAGCTCGATTCCATGGCCGACGACAGCAGCTCCGCCGCCTCCACCGCAGCCGTCTCTGAGAAGAAACCAGAAGGGAAGAAGTCGTGGGCAGACGAAGCAGAGGAAGAATCCGCCGCCTCCGTGTCCTCCTCCGCCGCCTCCGCCGACTCTTCGGATGCCAAGAACGGCAAAGGGGAGAAAACTGAGGAGGAGTTGAAGAAGATCGAGTCCCTCTCGATCTCTGACAGTCCCGATGGACCTCAGTTGGACGATCCTGATGATTCCGATATCAAGGCGGTAATGAAATCGGCCAATATACGACTAGTCTAAGTTCGCATCTAGGGTTATATCAACAAAGTTCTTTTCTTTCTCATAGTTATAGGTCACTGAAGGCTGCAATTTTTCTTAATAAATCTAGTTGATATTGTGCTCTAACTTTGATTTTTTTCCACTATTAAAATAAGTTCCATAATGTTGAACTTGTTGCAAAAATCTGGGTACTGTCTGCTGGAAATTTCAGCCATATTTCTAATTACTGGAATTTGGGATTTTCTAGCTAGCTAAGTTTCCGGATTGTCTGGTTTTGAGTTTAAAGATATTATTTGAGATAAAGAGTATCACTGAGGTTATCATATAGAAACATTATGTCCCTGTTCAATTCTTGAATTTGAACTAGTATTTTGGTTTTCGGTTGATCTGCTCTAGTATATGGCACACATATCTTCAAACTTAACTCTTATCTTACAAGCTGCATTCGGTATAGGTTACATCAGGTGACACTGTTTACACATCTGCTGTGAGGTTTGAAGATTTAAATCTGTCGAGCGAGTTGATCAAAGGACTATACATTGAAATGGGTTTCAGTAAGCCTAGCAAGATACAGGCTGTGACACTACCCATGATTCTTACTCCACCCTATAAAGATCTTGTGGCTCAGGCACACAATGGTTCAGGAAAAACCACGTGTTTCGTTCTTGGTATGCTGAGCCGAGTTGATCCTAATAAAGGGGTGCCTCAAGCATTCTGCATATGTCCTACAAGAGAGCTAGCACAACAGGTTCGTTGGCATTACTAGTTTCACTTGAAAATTTTATGTGGTCCTATTGTGCTATGTTTAACTGGTTTGAAAATGAAACAGAACCAGGCGGTCCTTATGAAGATGGGAAAGTACACCGGCATAACTTCATTTCTTGCTATTTCAACGGAAGAACCAGGCGGTCCTTATGAAGATGGGAAAGTACACCGGCATAACTTCATTTCTTGCTATTTCAACGGATGCTTCTAGTTATGTTCCGGTCGCAAAATGTCCCCCAGTTACTGATCAAGTCGTGATTGGCACCCCGGGTACAATCAAGAAGTGGACGTCCGCAAAAAAGTTAGGCACTCGGGATGTGAAGATACTTGTTTTTGATGAGGCTGATCACATGTTGGCTGAGGTAGTTTTTTACTGCTTTCAAGTTCTACTTTATACAAATGCGATTCTTTTTCATGATAATTAACCAGAAACATGTGTGATATCCTATAAGGGGGTGTTTGGTAAGTTGAAAATGAAAAATGAAAGTGTAAAGTGAATCACTTTTAGTCAATTTTGATGTATGTTTTGTTGAAAGTGTTGCATGAAGTGTGAAAGTGAACTGCATCCAAAGAGCGCCGCATTATATTGTGACATTAATATAATGTGAAGTCTACTTCCTATAAAAAGTCTGAAGTCAATGTGAAAGTGGAAAACTGAGGACCACTGTTAATAAATAATAATAATTGATTACTCACCTCTCAATTTTTTCTCTCTTCACGAAGAGGATTTCTAGTCAATATTGCAAATGAAAATGTTCATTATAATTTATGTTATCATTAGATATATAATTATTATTTTACTAGAAAATTAATCATATGACAAAATGAATAATAAATAGATCATATAAAATATTTGGTTAGTAGTGTATATACTGGATGGAAAGAATATCATAGCTGTTATGTTATCATTAGATATATAATTATTGTTTTACTAGAAAACTAATCATAAAACAAAATGAATAACAAATGGATCATATAAAATATTTGGTTATTAGTGTATATACTGGATGGCAAGAATATCATAGCTGGATTGTTATACATGAGTTAATCTCCTTGATCAAATAAGGGAATCATTTTGCCAGGTATCTATATCTTTTTGTATTTACCAAACAACTACAGCTATTGAAAGTGTAATATTATAACAAATAATTGACTTTCAGTTCCACTTTCTATTTGCTAAACGTCCACATACTTCTCGGCTTAATTCATGGATGTGATGATCTGTGTTATCTTCTGTCTTAATTTCATCAATCTACCAATTCTTTTAATATCAATCATTTACTTATTCAGTCACTCCAGCATTCCCCTAGTAATGTGAAGAAGTTGGACATATATCTGTGAATTTTGCTACTGGTTTCAGTCACTCCAGCATTCCCCTAGTAATGTGAAGAAGTTGGACATATATCTGTGAATTTTGCTACTGGTTTGTGTGTTCCATGCTAGACAAATATAATGTGAAGAAGTTGGACATATATCTGTGAATTTTGCTACTGGTTTGTGTGTTCCATGCTAGACAAATATCCATGAAAGGGAGAATTCATTACTTGGTCCGCATTATCCATGTCGGTCATCTCACTCATCAGCTATGCACATATTTCTTTTCTGCACTCTCACAGCACTACCATGACCAGTGCCACTCTTTTCACCTCCTAACACAATCTTCATTCCTATTAAAAAAAAGATAAAATCACCCTATGGAAATGACCAAGGAACCCTAAGGATCTCACCTCTAGCACCACTTGGTGCAGTTCCCGCTTAGTCAAAGGATTTCCCATCTTTGCACTGGGTTTTGTGTCGGCCGATAATCCATTTGAGCAGAATGTAAATATCCTGCATGAGTGAACCAAGTGTTTGATGGAAATACGTGCGCATAGATCTGTGAATTTTTCTTTTTAATTTGTAGATAGACTTTCTGTTTCTACGATCTGTCTTTATTATACTGGAAAGCATCCTTTTCGATATTGTGTATGTTTCATAAATTTTGTCTGTCCATTGTGGCACATATGAATAATATGTGTTATAGGTGTTTGATTTAATATTTCATTTTATTTTTGTCTGTCCATTGTGGCACATATGAATAATATGTGTTATAGGTGTTTGATTTAATATTTCATTTTATGTAGGATGGTTTCAGAGATGACTCGTGAATAATATGTGTTATAGGTGTTTGATTTAATATTTCATTTTATGTAGGATGGTTTCAGAGATGACTCCTTGAGGATCATAAGAGAGATACGAAGAAATGGCAACTGCCAGGTCTGTCTTTACATCGCTGGGTTATTAAATCATGGTTCAACTAGAATTTCATGTATTTTGCAATGCCTCTTTTTCTGTTGTCTTGTCTATAAATTAAGAATGTTTTCCTGTTTCAAGAATTTCGTGTATTTACGAGGCCCTTGCTATATATATATCGTTATTGTGCATGTTTTCTTTAACAATCATCAGAGAAGTTTTACTTGTCTTCTTCTTTGGAAAGACAGCTTACAAGGCATAAAAATAACCAAGAGATCATCTTGGCATGAAACCAATGCCGCTGAAGTTTTGAATCAGTGCTCACTATGACCTTCAATGTGTTCTTCGTGGACTATTTTCCTTTACTATTAAGCATCTTTTCTCTCAAGAGACTGCTTACAAGGCGTAAATATTGTCATAGGATCATCTTTATCTTAAAACCAATGCCTCTGAAGCTTCATTTTTGAATCAGCGTTCGCCGTTCATTGTTGCCTTCCATGTCTTCTTTGTTGCTTTTTCTTTCTTAATGTTGAACATCCGGATTTCATAGGTTACACTATCTAAATCTGATTCTCCTTAGCATCAGCTAGGATCTAAACATCCCCATCTTTGTAGGGTTTTCCTTATGTGTGATATGATCTTATTCATAGGTTACACCATATTTATCCATTTCTAAATCTGATTCTCCTTAGCATCAACTAGGATCTAAAACATCTCCATCTTTGTAGGGTTTTTCTTATGCGTGATAATCTTTATTGTCTGCGATGTTGTAATTTATACTTGATTTTTCAGTCGTGATCTGAAGATTTGACTGTACTGGAATGGAACAACTGTTCCTGGACATCTCCATCTTTGTCGGGTTTGCCTTCTGCTTGATGATCTTGTTTCTGACGTTGTGACTTTTTAGTCATGATCTGAAGACTCGGCTGTATTTGAATACAATAACTGTTTCACGGACATTGATGAACCAAGTCATCTTATATACCTGAATTACATTATACCACGAGACCGCAAATGAGAGGGTGGGATGTACAGGTGACAGTTTAATGTAATCAGTGATGTGAGCATCCTGGTCTGCAAATAGGATTTTGGATGCCCTCAAATGTCTTTTTATGCCTCATCAGCTGTAACAGCTTGTTTTTTGTTGAGTTTTTTCTTTTTTATATGTCTAGAAAAATTGTTTGTGATTTAACTTGCATCGTTTATTGCCTGTTTTGAAGACTCCTATTTTGCTGGGCCTACGAAGAAAACCTATAAAACATTTATAAATCTGGAACCGTTTGTAAGTTTAGTATTCTTCTATTTCATGAGGTCTGAACATGAAGTTTAGTTTGCTAGAGAGTTTCTTATCTAGCATCCTTTTGAACCATCTTTTCATGAGGTCTGAACATGAAGTTTAGTTTGCTAGAGAGTTTCTTATCTAGCATCCTTTTGAACCATCTTATGGTGTAAGCTTTATTGCTTGTTTACTTGTAGTTTACTAGAAGATTTAGCAAAACCAAGGCCTTCCAGAAAGTAAATAGGAAAAACCTGAATGTTACAACTTCATAGAGCAGTTAGATGTGTTGAAAGAAACTATTTTTTTTCATCGGCGTTCTGTCAAATCAGCAATTGAATCTGATTCCAACATTGTTATCGAGGTGAGCGCCCCGGGTGTGCCCCGGGCCCGGGGCGCTGCGGGCTGGGGCAATTGCATCCCGCACCAGAGGCCGGGCGCTACACGCACACGAGGCGCGCGCCTCACGTGCGCCTCGCGCATGCCTCGCGTGCGCCTCACACGCGCTTGACACCTGCATCATGTAATAGACTCTTTCTTCTGTTTTTTAAAATAATTTACATATTACATATTTATATCATGTAATAGACTCTTTCTTGCTAGTTGCTAATCCACTCTCCATTTTTTCATGTTTAACATATAAAAAGGAAACAATAATTAGTAATTTAGTATACTTGTTTGCTAATTGCAACTTCCTTCTCTAATTAACATGCTAACTAGAAAATTATGAACATGTAAATATGTAATTGTTATCTCCATTCATCTTTTCATGCTAACTAGCTAATAGCAATTAAGAGTGCTAACTAGAAAATTATGAACAATCATGTTTTTTATCACTTAATTGTTACTTAAAAATACATATATCATATTTTAAATAAAAATACATATTTCTTATTTGTTACTTGTTTTGCTTCATAGACTTTTACTTGTGTTGGAGATTATCTTGCATTGTGATTTATGGAAACTTATGAACTTCTCTATGTTATGCGTGCTAATTAAGACTCTTTCGTGATTTAGTGTGTGAAATTATATTTCTTGGCTATGTTACCCGGGTACTTCATTATTGAAGCTGTACTCGTACCGGACACGTACCCGACACTTTCCCGTACCCAAACTTCATGGACAATTCTTGAATATATGCATGCATTTATTACAACATGTACTTAATTAGACGATATATGTGTTAATTTAAAACATTTGTTAAAGACTTCCTGGACGTAGAGCTTACACTTCACATCCGTCTTTTGAAACTAATGGGATATGAGTCGTGTTCATTTCAGTCCATACCCAAGTTCAAAACTATATAGTTAATAGGTCGTTTAGATGTCTAGTAAAACAATGGGTAGTTTACAATTCACGATAATCAATTTGATAAAATAAACTCAAAAATGTGATCGAAAATTTAATTCTAATGACACATGAAGCGGAAAAAAATTATCTCATGTACATTATTAATTCAATATATATATGTAGTCGTGTTCCCGTACCCAACATTTTACAGTTTTGTCGTGTCCCATACCCGCACCCGTACTAGTACCCGTACCCGTTTCCATGCAACTTAGTTTCTTGGTCTTTTTATGTGACAATTTATAAACATGTTGCTTATATGCTTCTTTGTCTTATGTTGGAAAATATTAGTTTGAGTTGTGCGTCTCAATTTAGTGAGGCGCACGCATCGTTGTGCGCCTTGCGCATGTGCGCGTAAGAGGCCTTTGCGCCACGCATTGTGCCTTGCGCCTTGATAACAATGGATTCCAATGTAGAACTTTTGTTACATTAACTGGCTCATGGAACTGTTCTATTTATTCCATTCAGAGTTGGTTAGAGGATGGAAGAGCTTCTGAATAGGAGTTAATAGTCTATTGAGAAACTAAACTGTTAAAGCTCTATCTGGAAAACTTGGGTGCAGAGGAGGCTTTATGCTTGGGATCTTTGGAGAGCCTCCTATGTACTTTTCTTTGAGCTACTTATATTTTCTTATGGTTCTTGTTTTGAACTGATTGTATATATGTTTATGATGCCGCTTCTGCTGTTAGCCTGTTACAAAGAGTTTGTTATTAGATTCTCCAAAGCTTCTTGTCTCTGAGTAACTAAATCCTTTTTTCTTCCAAAGTATTGTTTTATGTTGTCCCATAGAAGTTTTGGAAGGGTTAGTATTGTTGTGAAAATGTGTTCTGATATAGCGGAACTTGTTTGATGTCAAATTTAAAAGTGACATGAGCAGTTAATTTGTCCTTTTCACTAAATGGCTGGAATTTCTATGCATGGAGATCTCCTCTCTCTGTTCTTATTGTCTCTTTCACATAAGGTTCTCATAAATCTTGGGTTGTTCCAGGTTTCAATTAAATTCGTTTAGAGCAATATAATTAGCTTCTCTACAGATGACCTAGAAATCTCTTCCTCCCATAAATTTGTATGTTTATGTCATGTCTGATCCTTTTGTCTGTAAATCCCCTCAAACTCTTATCGGCCATCAAGTTGCATATTTATTAAGAATGTGCAGGATATATCTATGTTCTTTCTTTTGAATGTCCGTTACAGATGTTGGAATAAAGCATGACATATAGCATCTGTTAAGCTGTTATTACTTTGATTGCTGCAGAACAAAGTCGGTTTTCCTTCTGTAATTTACTATTGTTGACATAGTTTTCTCTTTTTGGCTAATTTGCTATAGTATAGGTGCTCCTATTCTCAGCCACCTTTGATGAAACTGTGAAGGAATTTGTATCAAGGGTAGCACCGGATGGAAATCAGATTTTCGTGAAGAAAGAAGACCTTACTCTAGATAAAGTTAAGCAATATAAGGTCCATTGTCCAGATGAACTTGCCAAAATGGGAGTAATAAAGGATAAAATCTTTGAATACGGACAAAAGGTGGGTCAAACAATTATATTTGTTCGCACAAGGGAAAGTGCTAGGATGTTACATCAGGAGTTGGCTAAGGAGGGTTACAAGTGTACATCTATACAAGGTGCCGCGAAACAAGATGAGCGGGACAAAATTATAAAGGAATTTAAAGATGGATTAACCACAGTCCTCATTACAACTGATCTCCTTGCTCGAGGTTTTGATCAATCGCAGGTATCATTCAATGGTATTATATACATCTAGAATCTAGATTAATAAGTTTTCGGCTAAGTATGGAATGATTTAACAAATTGTTCCCTGCAGGTCAACTTGGTCGTTAACTTTGATCTTCCTGTTAAGTACCTCTCTCCTCAAGATCCTGATTGTGAGGTGTACTTGCATAGAATTGGTAGGGCAGGACGTTTTGGACGAAAAGGTACTTCTTCTGAGTACATTATATTTATTTCTCTTTTTCATTGGTGTGAAGTACTGAAGTTACTGATACATTCTCTCACCACTGGTTTCGATGAGTTCTCCCAAGTTTTTTGTTTCTTATTTAATATACTGCAGTATATGTCTTATCGTGATTCGTGGCTTTAGAATTTTAAGAAATTTGCATTGAATAGCAATTGGGTGTCTCTGTATAGATGCACCCACCCACTCATCACACGTACGCGCCGATGCACCCATGTGCACACACATATGAGACTTAGTGCTGAGTGGAAAAAAAAGAGATCTGACACACACACACACACACACTCACACAGAGGATGCAATACTGATGAAACTATTTGAAGTAAATGAGATTGCACGCGCAAACATGGGATGAAATGCTGAGGAAAGTTTCTAAAAAAAAGAGATCGAACACACAGAAGATGCAATGCTATGTTTTAAAAAATGAGATTATGGACAAGCGATGCTCTGCTTGGTTGATTATTCTTCTAATTATGGGGCGTGCAGTAGCCAACTTAAGAACCTTAGGTTTGGAGGTGAATTTCTGTCTCATGATTGTGAAGTTTGTTTGTGTTGGAAAAAAAAAAATATTTAAGCTTTCCTCAACAATTTTGCACTGCAAAAAATAATAATATTTAAGCTTGAGTTGACAGTTCTGTGTCAGTTTTGTTATATGTTGCATGGCCACTTCTATCATGAAACTGTACCCACACCCGACACCCATACCCGTACTTGATTCTCCTTGGCTCCTTGACTATATGCATACATTTACTCAGACAAGTACTTAATTATATAACACATATTTTTAATTTAAACTACTCACTTAAATAATGCATAATAAGAGAAACATAAGAATGTTAAAGAAAATTTGATTCTCATAACATGTGACTGAAAAAACAATACTGATATCATGTAACTTATTAAATTTCACTGTGTATATAGCAGTGTTCCTATACCCTACTTTTTATAAATTTGCCATGTCCCATATCTGCACCTGTATCCGTACGCATGCAACATAGTTTTTGTTGCATCAAACAATACATTCATTGGACTTCAGTTTTGGGGATTCACTTCTGACTCATGAAAGTTGTGAAGTCTGTTTTTGTCGCAAAAAATAACAATAAAGCTTTACTTGACAATTTTGTGTCAGCTTCTTCTCCTTCTTCTTCTTCCTTGCGTCAAATGATTCACTCATTGTGTTTAAGCAAATTGTTAGAAAGTGCCATTTGATGGTGTATTGAGTTACATTTAAAATGGTATGATGTTGTAATTGTGTGTGCTTTTAGAATTTAAGAGCCAAACAAAGAAGAAACATGTACATTGCCATACAGCCAACTCATGCATGCCTGTATTATCATTGTGGATGCAAAATGTCACTTTTAGTAGTAATTCCCATTTTTCATTGGCTTTGTCATGAAGTCCCTTCCGATGCACCAAAACTCTGTAGATGTATCGAGGATTGGGAGTTATAATTTATATTGATTGATATATTCTAGCATGCCTCATAGACCGATCGCTGTTTTTATGGGCCTAAGCCTAAGGCCCTGCATCAGTATCTTACTTTCCAAATGTCCTTCTAAATGCATGACCGATAGAATTTGAACTTGCATTGGTCTGATATCCATTTTAAAGCCTCTCTGTCGCGCCCAAACTCCAATCCTATGGCAAGTGTGGAGAGTCACAATTTAATATTCACAAATTGTTTGTTCGGTGACAGGTGCTGCGTTCAACCTGCTGTGCACAGAGAGGGACAAGATTGTCATGGAAAAAATTGAGCGCCATTTCAATAGTGTTGTTCGTGAGGTATTATTTAAGTGTACCCTGCTTCGCTTCCATTTGTATCTAATCGGTTTATAAGTGCCTTTTTATGATAAATTTCTTTTTCTGCTGCTTTTTTAGGTGCCTAATTGGCGAAGTGACGAGGACTTTGAGGCTGCCCTTAAAGATGCAGGCCTTCTTTAGATCAGAGAAACTCGACTATATATATTTATATGAGAGGCATCAGATCATAGTAATGTGCATAATAGTTGCTTCTGGCAAGCTATTTACCATTCTTTCTTTGGGTCTTGGTGTGAAATTTCTACTTCTTGGGCAAGAGTGTTTTTCTACATTCCGAACTTTATATCCTTGGTCAAATGATAATTAGTTTTGGAATTACTGTTCTTTATGGTTGTCAGAGTCTCAATGTGTTTATTTGCCGCTGTTAACCTGTGAAATGTCTGCAATGTAATTTGTATTTAGAACTGAAGGACTGTTGTTTTTCCTTTTCACTGTTATTCTCAAAGATGTATTATTTTGTATGAAGTTATTTTTGTCTAGTTAAAGTAGGAGACACGGAGCTCTGCGCCATGCGTTGAGCAGTAAGCATTGAGCAATCTGCGGATGCAGATTTGTTTTCTTGGATCCTTCATGGGCTGCCAAATTTCATGCGAACTGTTCTTTTAATTCTTATTGTCTTTGTTTGTTGACGTTGATGTAGCTGGCTCGATGTCTCGTGGAAAAAGGTTGTGTTTGGCAATGGAGATTGGGGTAAAGTTCAATCCTGCTGAATCTTGGAACTTCAAAGAGCTGCGATGTACAACAATTTCAAAGTGCTGATGCTGAGTAGTGTCTTGTATTTTTGAGAGTGCTAAATTGGCGTTTGCCTTGCTTTTAAAGGATCGTGGCGTGGACATAATGCTTTTAGTTAAACAAGGTTGCATGGCGATAAGCAATTGGCACAGATCCCTGTAAATCTCCTCTCTGCCAATTAGCAAATGGCATAGATCACAGGTATGTTTGTGAACATATCCCCCTATAGTATCATCCAATTTCCAGGAGACCCTCGCAATTTTATTTGTTGTGAATAAATCCCTGTAATTCTACTTGTTATGAGTAGACTCTTTTGAGTGAATTTATTTTTAGTGAAATCTTCAAACAATTTCTCTTGTGCGTGGACCCCCCATGATTGCCGCCCTGCCCTGACCTGCTGACCCCTCTTCCCCTACAGCCAAGGCTACCCCCCTACACCTCTCCCCAAGCTTTCTGTCAGCCTCCATGATTGACGCTGCTAGTGTTCTATTTTTCTTCCTCTCTATTTCTTTTTCCAAGTTTTCACGCTTAAGGTATTGTGCTTCTGTGGATTGGGAAGCTGGATACACTAAGGACTTTCAAGAGCCCCTTCCCTCTGTGAAATCTAAATCTTGTAGCAGTAGTGTCAAGAGGGATCCTCCTGCTTCTGGTATGGTGTGCATCAATGTGGATGCAGCAGTAGATAGAAATGGAAGTGGTTGCAGCAGTGGTATTGTGGCTCGGGATCACAATAGTGTTGCTCTTTACTCTAGAGGTAACTACTACATGAATCCATTCTCTCCTCTTATTGCTGAGATTATTGCTATAAAAGATGGGGTCCTTCTTGCCAAGGAGAGGAAGTGGAATCAATGGTTTATTGTTTCTGATTGCCACAATGCTGTGGATTTATTGAGCAATCCGGAGGTTCAAAGTGGAGAACTTGATCTACTTGCTGATGAAGTTAGGTCCCTAGCTATGTTCGTTCTAGCTTCAAAGGCTTCATCTACAAGCCTAGGGATTCTAATGGTGTGGCCCATCTGTTAGCAAAAAATGCTCTTGGTGATCATAAGACCTTTGATTGGGACGAGGGTGTGCCCTCCGTGGCTTTCAGTGCGTTTACGACTAATATGTCTTCTCTTTGTTAGTTGTTTTGTTCTTTGGTATTTAGTCTTTACTCTTCTTTTCAAAAAAAAAAGTCTTTTATTCGTTATAACTGATTGAATTTTATAGCAGACTGTTTGAAGGTATAATTGACAATAGAAAATCGAATTAGGAGCAAATTTATAACTCGGGTAAATCTTACAAAAACTCCAATGAACTATGGGGATTTTTGCAGGAGGCTATCAAGAACTGCCGAAACCAGACTAACAACGCGTGTACGTTTGCCAGTGAACTGCAGGATTTTTTCAGAAAACTATAACTTTCAAAGCCAGACAAACAACGCGTACTTTTCCCACAAAACCTTTTCGACTAACACCACTAAGTTTGACGTGTCACGTACCCGACCCATTGAGCCCCGAAACACTAGAGTGCTCCTAAACCCACGAGACCTCTCTTTGCCCTTACCAAAGTCTCACACCCGGCCCCCACTACACACGCCTTTGCTCTTACTGCTGTATCGAGAGTTACTGCACGTATTGCTTGACGTAAAATAAACGGTGGATTTGTTAATCATATATAATTTGAGTTTAATTTGATTAGAAGGTTAGCTTTTGAAAAGGTTATTTCGGTCTTTTAACGAAAGCACTAGCTTTGTTTGCTGTGTTGTTAATAAAATTGGAAATTAGGGGTTTTGAGGTGTACATGTACCCACCCATAGTTCAGAGATGCTCTCTTTAATTTTTGGTAGTTTTTTCGGGAAAAAGCCATGACTGTTCAGTTCTATTTCTCCCTAAATTTACCCAATAATGTAGATTGGTTTGATCCTACATATTAACTTGAAATTATTTCATTTCATCTAGTCTCAGGAAATCAGAATCACGATTTGACGCGAGAAAAGCAAGCAAGAGATTATGAGTTAAATTAACTTAAAGTATTCTAAAATTTCAATGCTCTTTAAACCGGTACCCCGATTGACAATATGCTAGTTTAGCATGAAATTTAATTTTTGTTGTTAATTTCTTCATTTATTAGTTTATTTGTAATTGAAATATATTTAAAATATTTTCTTAATGTTTATTAAATTTTTTCTCAAGAACAAAAACTTTTGGAATTTTTCAGTTAGGAGGTTTTTTTAAAAAAAGACCATTTTTAGAAATTTATTAGCAAAATTAACCTATTTTTATATAATTAGCAAAATTGACCTCTTTTTAGCCAATGTCGGTTTGTTAAAAATTAAACTCTATTTATTAATATAATATATTACTATATAATAGCAGACTGTATTATATAATATCGATATAATATACTAACAATATAGTTAATATAATATTTTAATTCAATATTGTATCACTACACACTATCATAGATTATAATGTATTGTATTATAACATTATTATAATATATATTCTTAATATGTTATATCCAATATAATATTTTATGTCATAACATAATATAATATGTTATTATTTTCATTAGTATAAGATATTATAGTTTTCGATTTATTTGTATATGATATTATTTAATATTTTATGTAATAAATAATAAAATATTCACAATATCTAAAATGTATTCCATTGTAGTACAGTATAAGATATAATATCATAATATTATATTATATTATATCATAATATATTATGATATTGTATCATGATATTATAAATAATATATATTAACACTATGTTACATAATATTATAGCATAAATATTAAATTATATTAAATAGTATATCATAATTAATATAATATACTAATAATAAGTTAAGTACGATATGATATATTATACTATCAAATATAATATATTAACAATAGATTTAATATATTCACAAAAATAGGTTTAATATAATATAAGATTATAAAAATAAATTATTATTTTATAACTATCATGCTATAAATTATAAAATAAGAAGATTATATTTATGATATATGCAATATAACATAAAATAATATTATACTATAAAATATTATATTATATTATAATTTACTTTCTTATAATTAATAATATAATAGTAATGAACTTAAAATTATAAATTACTCAAGTATTTATCTAATATATACTATTTGAATATTTTAAGTATTTAATATAATTAACATCTAGTAGTTAGTTAATATATGAATGCTTGTAAATTACCTCACTTGCCCCTAATTTACTCCAACATGATGAATGAGTCAAAATTTGAGTCGGGAAAAAAAATTCTATAAAAGTGGGACAATTTTGTCCCAACTGGAATAGTTGTCCTGCTAGTGTTCCAACAAATCAATAATACCAAAAGTAAAAGTTCCAACTCAATGTGCTAATAAATAACATCAAAAAGCAACGTGTCCAAAATCATCCCTTTTACCTCCAAAATACAACAATGAATAACCTTCCTTAGGTGAAATGGGGAAGCCTACCTAAGCGTAAAAGAGACTTGGACATGAATGCGGATCTCTGCTCAGTCAAAGATCTCAAATTTATTACTCAATAAGAAAAGTACAGATTTGGTTATTGCATACAAAGCTCATTTCACTGACGACAGAGCATAGAAAGTTTGGAATGGTGGCTTGAAGTCCCTCCATTTTCTGTGCATTTGATTTGAAATGAATTGACTAAACCAACTCCGAAATCGAACCCATGGATGCAGTTCTAGTCAGAAATATCGCCCATGCCTGGACTACATAACCCTCACTTTTTCACAAATTCGATCTCAGAGTTCTCTCTCAGCCATTCAAGCACCTTTGCTCCCTCTAGGACATCTTGCACCTACAAAATCCATGGGAAAAGCTATTCAACGTTGAAAAAAAACCGCTTACTTGCAGATACAACACTTGTAGAATGGAGGTTTAGCCACTTATACCCCTATAGTTTTCTGTTAGCAGTTAGACCCCCTGAATTTCAAACAACATTTCTTTTCCCCTCGGTTTAGTGGGTAGTTCAGTCTTTTTCAGTTGAAGGCAAAAAGTGATTTATCGACATGTGATTCCAACGATTCCAATGTGACATCACAACCTAACTGGGGAAATAATGTCTTCTGATGCTTATTTTGAGTGCGAAACATGTGTATTTTTATGGAAAAACATAGATCAAATGCATACATTATCAAACGAATTAAGTGTTCTTACATCTATACTAAGGTCAAAAGATCTAACCAAACCGATAACATGAATCATCAATGAAAAGAAAAATAAATAAAATAAATTATAAGCATTTATGGATAAAAATAAACCTGGTCTTTGATGCGTTCCTCATCATACTCTTGATTATGGCGTTTGAACTCTGCCACAGACTTTTGAACCTCTTTAACCAATTCTTCTGTCGGATACTGCAACAAAATCAACCCTCAGTACCTCATCAACACTTTAAAACATGCATTCAATGAGTAGAGGTATATGTTGTCAATAACATTGCCACTCAAAAGATGTTGTAAATAACATTTTTTTGGAGGGAAATAAGGTGTGGATAACATGATTGGAGGAAAAACTAGTCCATCACTTCAATACAAACACCATGGTGCCCACATCATTTCAGATTTAATCAACATATTTGTCATTAATTTGTATAAATTGAATAGCAAAGTGACAAGGAGAAAAAAATAATATTAGCGATTGATTACAAATAAGGAATAAAAAAAAGCATTTTCTCTATGGAAAAGGATACCTCAAAATTTAATTGCCCACTTAAAATAAAGTGCAAGATCAAAAAATATGAAGCACAAAAGAGTTCAATAAAACAAAAACATCTTTTATATCAATATATTTGAAGGAAAATGCTCCAAATTTGGTTTGAAATTTAATTGCCTCATAATTCTTTATATAGATAAGAACTGAGAACTAGAAACAGTTTCCTTTTGAAGGAAAAGGTGGGAGAAGTGTAATTACATTTCACTATAGAGTTAATGAACTCTCCTCCAACACAAGAAGTAACATTTCCACGAGCTTAACAACACGTATTTAACTTGTACATGACAATAAATTCTCCATTCTAGCAAGCGAAAAATACAAAGCAGTAAGGAAAAATAGGTACTCAACCATATCCATACCTCCAGATTCTCGCCCTTGAAAATCTCAGCCACCACCAACATCTGTTTTACTATATTTGTTATGGTATCCCTTTGGCTTTCGAGGTATGTCTTTACTGCTTTTTCGCTTGATAGAGATGCTAACTGCTGCTCACTAAGTTTGTTGCTTGCCTGTTCAAGGATGAGATCAGAACTAATCAAGTACACTACAAACAAGGTAATTTTAGTTCAGCCTTTACATGTATTTGCAGGAGATTGGCCCCATATAGTTGTCTGCCTTGTTCTTCAAACAAGGATTCAGGAATATCAACTTCAACCAGCTGAAATTAACATTAAAGTAATGAATTTTTTAGAAGAATTTTTTTACACAAAAGGACAAACAGATGAATCACTAACGCTCAAATAAAGAATAAAGTAATATTAAATGAATATTTGAGTAATTAACAGAAAAACCGACTGTCCCTGGAATTTTTTACTCACCTTGCATAGTTGATCGAGAATAGCATTATCAGTAGCTTGTTCTATTGCAGTTTGTTCAGCTTCTTTGCATCTCTCGAATATTGCTTCTTGAACCTAGGAAACACTTATACGAAGCTATTAGCAACCCAAAGTTAGAGAAAACATCCTTCATTCCAGTACCATGTCTTGCATAGCCATGTTCTGAAAGTTATCAGCTTATAAAAAATTATGGTATGATTATAGTAACTTTAAGGATACATATATCTAGGAAAAAAAAGAAAAAGATGAGACTAACCTGATTTAGGGTGCTGCATCCAGGAAGGAGCTTTTCAGCAAGAGAGTCCTCCAATTTGGGTAGTACTAACCTGATTTAGGGTGCTGCATCCAGGAAGGAGCTTTTCAGCAAGAGAGTCCTCCAATTTGGGTAGTTCTCTATAAAAGAGTTATGCTGCATCCAGGAAGGAGCTTTTCAGCAAGAGAGTCCTCCAATTTGGGTAGTTCTCTATAAAAGAGTTCTTTGCACACAACCTAGAAGTAGAAAGTGCAAGCAATTGAATTAGTTATGACTAGACCACTTGCAGCAAACTGCTCAAAAGGTCATAAAATCCAAATTGTTGTCAATTTTAATATGAAGTTACTAGGGGATAGTAAAACTTACAGTAAACTGAGAATTAACACCTCGAAGATTTTCTTGTTCCCATGATTCAGGAAACTGAAGAGGAAATGACCTTGTCTCATCTGGCCTAATTCCAGAAATGGCATCAAGAAATCCAGGAAGGAGGTTGTCACTTTCTTCTGTGTCCAAGTGAAATCCTGCAAAGAGAAACTGATAAAGTTCACTTACAGTGGTTAAAGACACACTAAGTGAAGCTTACAAACGCAGGATTAGGAAATAAAACTCTACAAACTTCTCCATTTACCAGAAGGACCCCTACAACATAATTTAATCAAATTCCTTATCATAAAACCATCTTCTCGTCATGTAGATAGACGGATTACGTCAATGCCGTATATGAGGTATATGACTAAGTTGTACAAACCTTTCCTCTCAGCAGATGGAATTTTTTGGGCTTTTGATTCATCTTCCTCAACTGTTGTTGCAAATATATCAAGAACCACAAGATCACCAATCTACAAAATTCCAAAACTGGAATCAAACCCCACCCAAAACCCGCTTTCTTTCAACTATATTCTACAGAAATATCAAATTGTATTTATACATTGAATCTTTCAAAAGATTATAAATTATAGACGGTGTAAGCTTCCTTGGAGGAAAAGCTAGTAGCTAATAGCAGAAATTGGCACAGGACCATGTATACCACAAAACAGAAGGCTCACCACTGATCTAAATTGTCAAAATTTACCTGCAGGCCTCTATCGGTTACAATTTTCAGTGCTCCTAGAGACTTACAACGCCGTGTAAACTCTTTCTCAGCTGCATTTTGGGCATTAATACTATCGTCTAGCTCAACAACAACCTTCAAATTCTTGTATTTACTTTCTGATAGCCATTTGACTTCCGGAGCCACATCCACCATCACATCATATCTGGAAGCCAAACAAAAGTATAAGAGAACAAAAACCTACTAGAGGCAGATACAATCCAGACAGAACTTAACTACAGGAAGCACAACCAACCTTAGAATATCTTGTAGGGAAAAGGTGTCACTCATATCTGAGAACTTGGTTATTGATGTCGGATGGGAATCCTTTAAGGCTCTTCCTTCTACCTAAATAAATGCTAAAGCTCAGTAATGCAAAGAACAGGTTTAAGGTATTAAAACTGTGATCACTTATTAGATTAACATAAAAATGATTGATTGATGGACTAGCACATACCGAAGACACTGCATGAGGAAGGGTTTTCTTCAATATTGCTTCTATTGTTGCTCCCTGAACATTTTGCTTGCCAACATAGTTTATAAGTATATTTTCTGGGATTCTCTTCCCAGGGCGAAATCCAGGGACCTGCATACCAAATTCATATTCAATTTGAACAAAGATTCTTATAAGCAACCACACAGCAAAGATGCATAGCCTGCAGTAGATATAACTTAAGACACCGAAACATGTTTAAATAGACATTTTAGGAAATATTCATCATGAGATTTAGATCAGAAGCCAAATCATTAAACAAAACAATGATGATTTGGGACAGAAGCTAAATCTTGTGGACATACAGAAAGGGGCAAGATAAGAAACGAGTACATTCATAGGATGTCAGAGGTTGTCCTATTGAGTACAAGTTCAAAGCGAATCGATTGTGACTGTTTGGCGCACAAAGGATGTCAAAGGACCCCGCCGCTACACAAAAACTCCGAAGCTATGGTAAGGACTGAGCTCTACAGTGTTACACTCACATTCCCCGCCAGCCCAAAAAGGCAGAACCAAAAGCCGTGCTCGCGAGGCAGTAGCAATTTAATTTAAAATCCGTTTTACATCCGTGGCCCGTCTGAATTGAACAGGGGGCCCTGATACCATACCAAGGACCACGCCGCCACATCAAAACTCCGAAGCTGTGGTGAGGGCTGAGTGAGGTAACGGGGGAAATGAAGAGAGGATAGCTTAATCGAGGGGGTAATTAACCGTTAACAGAACTAAACGAAAGAACAGGATTCACGTCGGCGACGGAAATTTGGGGTATTAGATAAAAGAAGGAGAGAAATAAAAGAATTTACCTTCACTTGCTTGGAATACTCAACTAAAACCTTCTTGTGGCATTCTTGGCACACGGCCGGTGGAACCTCCACAGTTAATCTGACCTACAAATAAAACAAGATAAAACTTCAGATGCTAAAACCCATGTTACGGCGCGGGAACGATAAAAAAAAACCCAACCCAATTAACGACGACATATTCTTAAATCCTGACAAAGTCAACCAAAATTGAGGGTGGAGGGAGGAGCTCACGCTTGAGCGGGGCTGTGTCGCCTCGGTGACTCTAACCTCGGCTGGAAACTCATCCTCCTCGGTCTCCGCGCCGACGGCGACGGAGCTGCTGGCGGAGACGGTGAAAGGGAGGGAGAGAAGACGCTGGAAACTGGGGGAGGAGGAGGAGGGAGCGGGGAAGGGAGAAGGGGCGGAGATGGAGGTGGAGTCGGGGGGCGGGAGTGAAGGAGAGCAGCTCCATTGCGTACAGAAGATTTTAGATATTAGATAAGAGCTTGTTTTCTTGGATATTTATTTGGGGTTTTTCTCTTTTTAATAGATCCCGTCTTTAAAATGAGATAATTATATATAAATCATCATTCTTTTTTTAACTGATATATTAATTATTTTTAAAGTTAGTTTTTGTTGCTATTAACAACTTCTAATCAAGTTTTTACTGGAAAAGGGCAAATAAACTTAAAAATTAAAATATTTAGGCTCAAGTTATTCTAATAAGAACCAAACGTTAGAAAAATACAATTACATGTCGGAGTTTTTAAAAATAATTTTAATCTATTAGTGAAAACTTTGATAAGAAGATAGTTAATTGTAATAAAAATTAATTTAAAATATAATTTATGTTCGGTAAAAAAATTTCATGATCAGTATTAATGTTAATTTTTTTAAATATTATATTATTATCCTAATCTATTCTAATTATCTTATCTTCTATGAATTAGTAACTAATTAATTTATCATATTTAAAATGAGACTTAACATGTTATTGGATAAAGAGAATATGTTTGATATAATTCAAATCCTTTACTTATATCAGTTCATAGAGAAATCTAAAAAACATATACTAGCCAGCACCTAAAAAATTTTGGACTTTGTAAAAAAATCCTCTAAGTTTTTTAAATTACAAAAACACCCCTGTAAATTTAAAATCTTATTAAAACGTCTTGAAAGTTATAAATTTTACTTATTTCAATTCAGTGAGAAATCTAAAAATATATGCTAGCTAAAAACTAAAGTTTTTTAACTTTGGAGAAAATATATTATAAATTTTAAAAATTACAAAAACACCCCTAAAATTCAAATTTTATAAAAAACATCTTCAAAATTTCAAACTTATAAACACACTAAAAACCTCCAAATAACACAAACAACCCCCAAAAATTTATGAAATTTGCAATAAACACTCTGAACTTTTTACAAATTGTAAAATAAAACCCTCAGAATTGTAAATTTATAAAAAAAAACTAATAATTTCAAACCTAATAGTACATTGAAAATATAGAAATTAAAAATATCCCCTACATAATTTATAATTTAAATAAAAAACCCTTAAAGTTTTAAAAAATACAAACAAAACCTTAAAATTCAAAATTTATAAATAACACACTCAGTATTTCAAACTCATTAGTAATTTGAAAGCATAGGAATTATAAATAGTCTATAAATAATTTACAATCTGTAGAAAAGGCTTATAAGTTTAAAAAATTAAAAAAATCCCTTAAAACTCATAATTTATAAAAAAAATACCATGAGAATTTCTAACCTATGGACACAAAAATGAATATATAAAATTACTAACAACCCCTAGAAAACTAAAATTTTACAAAAAATATCATACTCATTTTTAGATTTAGGAAAAACCTTTCATGGTCAAAATTACCCATAACTTTTTTGAAAAGAACATAAATGATTGAAAATTTATTAAAATTTAAATTTACAGAAAAAACACCCTTAAAGTTCAGCATATTGCAAATTACCTCTCCAAAGTTTAAAAATTTTAAATGATTTTTTGTAATTTCTTGATTTAAATGTAATGTTTAATAGTTTTGTGTATTTGTAAATTAAAAATTTTAGGGTGTTTTTTTTACAAATTTTTAAATTTTTATGGTGTTTTTTTTTGTAGCTTTCTAAATTTTCATTGTGTTTTTAGTATAATGCATAAATACGTTAATTAATGATGTATTGAAGAGTAAGTTGTTCTTAAGATTATTAGGTTATAGTTAAGTATATAATACATCACTGTTCCTAGGCAGTGTAATTTATATATGCAAAAATTTCATATAAAAATTCCTTTACGAATTGAATGGTCACCCATCTTTTGAAGACTTCAAGATACTAATAAATAGAGATGTTGTACTAGATTAATATGTTTATAACTCACAAATAGTAGACCAGTTTGGATTGAAGGAAACAATGACGATAAGATTATTAGACCATAGTTAAGTGCGCACATCACTACTCCTAGGCAATATAGTTTATATATGTAAAAAATTTCAGATAACCTATATAGTGGTTAAAACATTTTTGATTTAATGTACTATTTTTTTATAAATTATAATGTGAACCCACCATATAATTTTGACTGTGGTCATCATAAATTTAATACATTTGATTGATTGACTATAAACGTATATAGACCATATATTACTTTACTTTCTCGTAGGAGCTAATATTTGGTGCTTAATAATTTAAATTATTACTTTTAAATTTAATATAAAGAAGGGCTCTAATAACATTTATTTATTTACCAACAACATAATACAATCTCAATTTCTATTTTTACTAGAGATTTATTTCATAGTTAAGCGTATCAAATTAGTAACTAAAATAATAATTAATTATGCTTAAATTAGGATGATTATAGTTGGTCACTCACTATGAAGTTTTTATGAAGATATATACATTGCTTTTTATAGTTATCTGCACTGCCCATGTATAATTTACAAATTACTTCTTAATTTGACACATGAAATTACTTTTTCTTTGTAGAAATTTCTTCTTTGACTTTTAGACTCGGTAATTACTATATCACCATTTTAGCGTAGAAAGGACCTCACTCTAAATGACTTCAAACTAATGTTTGAGTTGAAGTGAAGTACATACTATTGCTACTATGTGTATATATATTTTTAAGAAAATTATATTAACACTTTTTAAGTAGAAGAGAATATTTTAATCTCTGATACTATAAAAACTAAATATAGCCAATCAAATGATTAGCAAAAGAGAACTTACATCAGAAAAGTGTGAATAATAAGCTAATAAGGAAATGTAATGATATTACCAATAATACTACAAATAGCAAACTACAATATAAAGTTAACATATTTTGTGGAACCCAACTACTAACTATAAGCATCGAGGTTTCCATATATATACTTTATAATTTATTTAAAAATATCATATATAGTAATATCGCTGTAATAATATTGTTATTAGGAAAAATTCTTCATGAATCAATATGTTCGGTACGATATACAAGCTACGCACTCCAAATTCTTGTGTCTTTTATAGAGTAAAAAAGTTTGAATACAGCATCTAACATATTGCTCTCACAACAATAAAATCCACTTAGCAGATGTGGATATTCCAGATGAGTTATGTATCCTATATACAATACAATTGCCCTAGACAAATGAGTTATAATTGTATTTTTTATTCACATTGTTTAGGGTAAGATTTGATAGGAACCTTGTATCAAAGAAAAAAAAATATTATATTTAGAGCACATAGCGAAATATATCATTATCTTCCTGTTCTAATTTCGTAAGAAAATAATTATTTATACTGTCAGTTTTACTTCTATGATACAGAAAATGAGCTATAAAATTAAATGAGAATATTAGATAATATAAATATGAGTGAAACAATAACTAAAAGTTAATGTGAATATGAGTCAAACCACAACTAAAAGTTTAATGGACATATTGCAAGTAAATTCATATGTAAAATTCTTTTATGAATTGAATGATCACCCATCTTTTGAAGACTTTAAGATACTAATAAATAGAGGTGTTGTATTAGATTAATATGTTTATAACTCACAAATAGTAGATCACGTAGCCATAGTATGAGTTAAAGGAAACAATGCCAATATTTTATTTAAGAGAGAGATTATTGAGTTGATGATCAATCTAAAAAAACTTTATTTTTTTTTACTCTATTATTATCGATTTAAATAATCATGATATTCAACCACGTATATTGCACGTGCATCTCAATTAGTAAATTAAAAATGACGGTGGTTTTCATGTAATTTAATGTAGTTTGGAAAAACCCTTGTATACTTGGGAGCAGGAATTGAGAGTGGATCGTATTCCTCGCCATATTGGGCTTGTTTCTTTTGAAGCCCAAGCGAAGGAGACACAAAGAGTGCATTCTATTCCTCGCCTTAATGGGCCTGTATCTTTCGCAGCTCAAGTGAAGGAGAGTAGCTCCGTCGTTCGAAGATATAGAGGAGAGAGTGTTTCGTTGAATATTATTTGAGAGAATGAATTGGGATTTGAAAGAAAGCAAAAATACTGTATACAATTTCTTCGGTATAACGTCGTGGTGACCGAAATTCACTGAGTTTAGGAGTTAACTAATGATTTTTTACTATTTTTAGTCGTTTTGACGTGTTATCAAATAATTTCACAATAACAAAAATTAACAATTTTGTAAACTATAATCCATAATTTATAGCAATTTTCAATCGTTTTAACCCATTGTCAAATAATTTTGTGATGGTCAAAACTCATGATTTCGTGAGCTATAATCTACTAATTTTGGTTATTTTTAGTCATTTCGACCCATTGACAAATAATTTTACAAAAACCAAAATTGATGATTTCATGAATTATAATCCACTATTATTAGCTATTTTCAGCCATTTCCACTAGTTGGAAAATAATTTCACGTAGGCCAAATTTAAAGATTTCATGAGTTATATCGAACAAATTTTAGTCATTTTGGCCCGTTGTCAAATAATTACGCGGTGACCGAAATTATAATTTTGTGAGCTATATAACCCATGATTTTCGGTCAATTTTAGTCATTTCAACATGTTGCCAAATAATTTTGCAGAGGGTAAAATTTATGATTTCATTAGTTATAACCCATAGTTTTTGATGATTTTTTACTTGTTCCGACTTGCAATCAAATAATTCCATGAATGCCAAAATTAATGATTGTATGAGCTACAACCCATGATTTTTGATTATTTTTGGTCGTTCGACCAGTTGTCAAGTAATTCATGGCAGCTAAAATTCATGATTTAGTAAGCTAACCCACAACTCTTTGTCATTTTTAATCGTTTCGATCCATTGTCAAATAATCCCCTCGTGGACAAAATTCATTATTTCTTATGCTACAACTCATGGATATTCGTATTTGTAGTTGTTTTGACCTATTGAAGAATAATTTCGTGATGACTAAAATTCATGATTTTGTGAGCTATACCTAACAATTCTTTTTCATTTTAAGAGTTTCGAGCCAACGGTAAATAATTATAAATAATTATCTGGAGTCCAAACTTATAACCACTAATTTTAGCTATTTTTGGTCATTTCAAGTTGTTGTCAAATAATTACTCAGTGACAATAATTCACCATATTGTGAGCTTATAACATAGCTTTTTGGCCATTTTTAATCATTTTGATATGTTGTCAAATAATTTTACAGTGGCCAAATTTTACGATTTCATGAGCTATTTATTACCTATAATTTTTTGCTATTTTTAGTCGTTTCGATTCGTTGACAAATAATTTCATGGGGTCTAAAATTCATGATTTTGTGAGCTATACCCCTCGATTTTAGGCTATATTTAGTCAGTTTGGCCCATTGTCATATAATTTCATGGGTGCTAAAATTCACAATTACATGAGTTATAACCCACAATTACTGGCTGCTTTTACTCATTTCGATATGTTGGCAAATAATTTTGCGGATGCCAAAATTAAAGATTTGATGAGTTGTACTCTAATTTTTGGACATTTTAATTGTTTTGACCTGTTGTCAAATAATTTCCTGATGACCAAAGTTCACAATTTCCTGAGTTATACCTCACGGTTTTGGCCATTTTTAATCATTTCAATACATTATAAAATAAATTCGTGGTAGCCAAAATTCATGATTTCGTGAGCTATAATCCATAACTTCTGACTATTTTTAGTCATTTTAGCCCATTGTCAAATAATTTCACAATGGGCAAAACTCACGATTTTGTGAGCTATAATCCACTAATTTTGGCCATTTTAAGTCATTTTGTCCTGTTGTCAAATAATTTTGATGGAGCCAATATTCACGATTTCATGATCTATAATCCGCTATTATTAGCTATTTTTAGCCAGTTCGACCAGTTGCTAAATAATTTCGCGTAGTCCAAATTTAAATATTTCATGAGCTATATTGCATGAGTTTTGGTCACTTTTAGTCGTTTTGGCCTGTTGTCAAATAGATACGAAGTGACCAAAATTACAATTTTATGAGCTATATAACCCTTGATTTTTGGTCATTTTTAGTCATTCAGCCTGTTGCGAAATAATTTCATAGAGGCTAAAGTTCACGATTTTATGAGCTATAACCCAAGACTATTAAGATTTTTACTTGTTTCGCCCTATTATCAAATAATTTTGTGAATGCCAAAATTAAAGCTTGTGTGAGTTATAGCCTGTGCTTTTTGGTCATTTTTAGTCTTTTGACCTGTTGCCAAACAATTTTATCATATCTAATATTCATGATTTAGTGAGCTACAACCCATGAGTTTAGGTCAATTTTAGTCATTTCAATCGATTTGGTAATAATTCATGAATTTATGAGCTATAATGCATGATTTTTTTATCATATTTAGTCCTGTTGTTAAATAATTTGGCAATTGCCAATATTTACGAATTAGTAAGATATAATCCATGATTTTTTAGCTATTTCTAGTCATTTTGATGTGCAATCAAATAATTTTGTGGTTGCCAAAATTCATGATTTCGTGATGTATAGCTCATTTTTTTCCTATTCTTAGTTTCTTCGATGTGGAATCAAATAAATTTATGGTGGCTAAAAATCATGATTTTGTGAGCTATAACCGATGATTTTTGGCCTTTTTTATTGGTCGAACATGTTAGCTAATGGTTTTGCAGATTTTAAAATTTATAATTTTATGGGCTATAACCAAGATTTTTATCCATTTTTAGTCATGTTGAGGAGTTGGCTAATAATTTTATGGTGGTAAAAATTCATAATTTTATGATAAATAACTTATGATTGTTGGCCATTTTAAGTTGTTTCGACCTACTATCAATTAATTTTGTAGTGGCCAAAATTTATGTTTTTATGAGCTATAATCCATGATTTTTCGTTATTTCTAGTCATTTGAACCTTTTGACAAAGGATTTTACAGTCGCTGAAATTCAAAATTCATGGGATGTAACCCACTATTTTTTACCATTTTTAGTCGCTTAGTTCTGTCGTCAAAAATGTTATGGCAACCAAATTCATGATTTAGTAAGCTATAACCCATTACTTTAGGTCATTTTTAGTCGTTTCGATCCATTGTAAAATAATTATAAATTCACGATTTCTTAATCTATAATCCATGACTTTTTGTCTTTTTTATTCATTTTGACCCCTTTACAAATAATTTCACGGTAGCCAAATTTTATAATTTTATGAGCTATAACTAACTTTTTTTTTCATTTTAATTAGTAGCTTCGAACCAATGGTAAATAATTATCTAGAGTTCAAAGTTTATGATTTCATAGGCTATAACCAATAATTTTTGCAATTGTTAGTTGTTTTGAGCCATTGTTAATTTCTTAGTGGTAAAAAATTACAATTTCGTGATTAGTAACCTATGATTTTGTCCATTATTATTCATTTTGACCCGTTGTCCAATAATTTTATAGTGGGCAAAATTCACGATTTTGTGAGCCATAACCCATGATTTTTGGTTATTTTTAAAAGTTTTGACCCGTTGACAAATAATTTTGTGGTTGCTAAATTTCAAGATTTTGTGAGTTATAACCGTCGATTTTAGGCTATTTTTAGTCAATTTGACCCATTGTCATATAATTTTGCAGTGGCCAAATTCATGATTTCATGAATTATAATCAATGATTTCTATCCATTTTTAGTTGTTTTGAGCCATTATCAAATAATTTCGTGGTGACCTTATCAAATAATTTCGTGGTGACCAAAAGTCATGATTTTATGGGTTATCCACTAATATTGATCATTTTTAGTTATTTCGACTTATTAACAAATAATTTTATAGATGTTAAAATTTACGATTTCATTAGCAATGAACCATGATTTTTGGTCATTTTTAGTCACTTCAACTTGTTAACAAATAATCTTCTGATAACCAAAATACACGATTTTGTGAGCTATAATCCACTATTTTTTACTATTTTTAGTCATTTCGACCTATTTTCATGTCATCTTACGAAGGCCAAAATCACAATTTAATGAGCTATAACCATGATTATTGGACATGTTTAGTTATTTTGACATGTTGACAAATAACTTCATGAAGGTTAAAATTGAAGATTTCATGAGCTATATCTCACAATTATTAGTTATTTCGACCCGTTGTCAAATAATTTGATGGTGGTCAAAATTTATGGTTTCCTGTTCTATACTAATGATATTTAGTCATTTTTAGTCATATCGACTATTGACAGATAGTTTCGCTAGAGCCAAAATTTAGGATTTCGTTAGGCATAACCCACAACTTTTTGCTATTTTCAGTAAATGGAACCTTACCAAATAATTCCACAGTGGCTAAAATTCATAATTTCTTGAGCTATAACTTACAATTTTTTCCTTTTTTTATTATTTTGGCCCAATATCAAATAAAATTTTTGGTGGCAGGATTTTGTTAGCTGTAATTCATGATTTTGGGTATTTTGAGTGGTTGTAGACGGTAAAAAATACCTCTATGGGTCTACAGGGAATTGGTCTACGAGAAGAGTTCGCACGCCCAGTTCTCTGACACGAACCTAAACCGCGTAGACATCGACTGGGCTCAAATCCAGGTTCGCCTAACGGTCGACTCGCCAGCATGAGTCAGGAGCGATCAGGATGGCGGAAATTTGCTCTTCGCTCAACTCGCCTGCCCGAGTTCGGAGTCGAATCCGCCAGCAAGCCCCAAAACCGTCAGTACAGCTGGGTATCCACTACCCCACGCGCTGAGGTCGACCCAAAGGGAGAGAGAGCACAGTACCCCAGGGCCGTCAAAACGGCCGCCCACAGTGCGCACAGCGCGAAGGAGCTGGACAGGTGTCGAGTCAACCTGAGCATTCATAAATGCGACTCACCTCGGCTGTCTGAGTCTGGAGCTGGGTCCGCCGGCACTCGGCAAGCTGGCTAGACTCACTCGAGTACTGTACACCTACTTCACCGCCTCTCCTGACCGGAAAGGAGAAAGCGTCGTGCTCAAAGCACGCCGGGCGGTCACGCACAGTACTGGTGATCGGACAGACGCCTCATCGATCTGCGGACTCATAAATGCGGTTCATTAATGCTGGTCAAATCCACTCGGATAGTAGTCGTTTGTTGCCTCACATACAAGAATGGGCCTTCCCATCGTAGGTGACAGGACATAAAGCACAATCCCTGGAATGACCGATCATGGTTTCGAGGAACAGCTAGACGTCTCTGAAGAAGATGTGGTCACATCCCACAATTCAAGGAGGAGTAAAGTTGTCCTTCTCCCATTTAAAAGCCTCTTCCGGCACACTGGAGGGGAGGTCGCAAAACTTAAAAAAAAAGAGTTGAGACCAAGCTCTCTGCAAAACTTTCTTTGCATTGCAGCACTACTGCTTAGTTCTGAGCTCCGATCGCCGGCGAACTAAACAGACCCGAACTCTCTCAAGTTGAGCTTCTACTGCGAACTGAAGCTCTCCAGCAACCTCATTCGAACGGTCCAAGGGAAGCAGACTCGACCCGAGCATCGAGCGAAGCATCCTGTAGCCACCTAAAAGTCCCCACACAAAACAAAGAGGGCCTTCCCTCTGCTTCTGTTGTAACTATTTGATCATTAGTTTGTAATAAGCCTTCTTATAAATACAAACGAAACTCCCTCTTCCGGGAAATCAAATATTCACCCTACAGTGGTTTCGTCTAATTGTCTAATAATCATACAGTGGCCAAAATTAACTATTTCGTGAGCCATAGCCCAAGATGTTTTATAGTTTTTAGTCATTACGACCCGCAATAAATAATTTTGTGGAGTGTAAAATTTACGATTTCATGAGCTATAACCCACGATTATTGGCTATTTTTAGTAATTTAGCCCCCATTGTCATATAATTTCACGGATGATAAAATTGAAGATTTTATGTGCAATAACCCACAATTTTTTAACATTTTTAGTCATTTCGACCTAATGTAGCGATGGTTAAAATTCCCAATTTCATGAGCTATAACCTATAATTTTTTATTATTTTTTATCATTTTGAACTGTTATCAAATAGTTTAACGGCTCCAAAAATTCAAGATTTTGTTAGCTACAACCCAAGGATTGTTTTCACTTTTTAGTGACTTTGATTTGCTGCCAAGTAATTTCATGGTGGCAAGAATTCAAGATTTCGTGAGCTAATGCATGATTTTTAATTTTTTAGTCCCGTTGTTAAATAATTTAGCAATGGTCAAATTTTACGAATTGGTGAGATATAATCCATGATTTTTTAGTCATTTTGACATGCAATCAAATAATTTTGTGGTTGTCAAAATTCATGATTTCGTGAGCTATAACCCATATTTTTTTGCGATTCTTTGTTTCTTCGACCCACTATCAAATAATTTTTTGGTGGCAAAACATTATGATTTTGAGTTATAACCCATGATTTTTAGCTATTTTCAGTTGTTTTAAGTAGTGGTCAAATAACTTCATAAATGTTAAAATTCATGATTTCAAGAACTATAGCCTATTATTTTTGACCCTTTTTTTTATTGCTTAAACATGTTTAGCAAATAATTTTGTGGAGTTCAAAATTTATAATTTGAAGGGCTATAACCAAGATTTTAATCCATTTTTAGTCATTTTGACTAGTTGGCCAGTAATTTCATGGTGGTAAAATTTCATAATTTTATGATAAATACCAATGATTGGCTGCCTGTAGGCTGTCTAAAAATCACAATAGATAGCTGATCCCCATCAAACACCGATGATAGAAGTTACAATCTGACGACTTTCAGAAGGCTACAATTTGAAGACTTTCACGTAGATCGTTGAAGGTTACAATCTGACGACATTCACGACAACTGATGAGAGCTCTAGTTTAATCGCATTCACAATCAACATCGAGAGTTACAATCTGACGACTCTTGCATATCAAAGAGCTAAAGTAAAGATTACAAAATGACGATCTTTACAAAACTTCGATAGAAAGAGACTACAAATCGACGGTCTCTTCAAATCAAGACGTGGAAGCCCTCCCCACGTACCAGCATCAAGATACGCCGCGTTCATAGCCACGAACGCAGCTCAAATGCAGCTCCAAAAGTTACAAATGCAGCTCCAAAAGCTGCAAACACAGCTCAGATTCGGCTGCCAACGCAGCTTCCAAATCGCTGTAAACGCAGCCTTCAAACGCTGTAAACGCAGGTCACATCCAGCTCCAAACGCAGCTCAGATCCGCTGCCAAACGCAGCTCTTAAATCGTACAAACGCAGCTTCCAAATTGCTGTAAACGCAGCTCAGATCCGCTGCCAAACGCAGCTCTTAAATCGCTGCAAATGAGCTTCCAAACGCTGCGTCCGAGCTTCCAAGATGCTGCGTTCAAGCTTTTAGGCATTGCGTTTGGACACAGAATTCATGCCAGAACGCAAGCCTGCGTTTGACTCGTTCAAACATGAGCTGAACGGTTCCAAAACCGTTTCCCACGATCTGAGGGGATCACAACTCCACTCAGGAGTGATTTAAGGGGCGGTTACATCCCATTAGCCCCACTTAGGAGCGAATTAAGGAGGTGGTTACACCCCTTAATCCCCTATAAATAACAACAAACTCAACAGAGTTAAAACAAAGGGGAGAATCCAGATCATTCTCCTCTCTTTTGTAATCAGGAAATCTAATTATAACTGAGATTAAAGGAATACAAATCAATTTTCCTTCGTTTCTTTTACTGCAAATTTTTCCACAAACACTGCCATTTTAAGTCGTTTTGACTTATTGTAAAATAATTTTGCTGTGGCCAAAATTTACATTTTCATGAGCTATATCTCTCAAATTTTAGACATTTTTAGTCATTTCGACTCCTTGTCAAAATAATTTTGTAGTGGTCAAAATTTATGGCTTCAGGCGCTATAACCAGTGATATTTAGTCATTTTAAGTCATATTGACTATTGACAAATAGTTTTGCTGATGTCAAAATTTAGGATTTCATTAGGTATAACCTAATTTTTTTTTCCATTTTTAGTCATTTGGACCTTACCAAATAATTTCACAGTGGCTAAAATTTATGATTTCATGAGCTGTAATTTATGATTTTTTTGGACCTTACCAAATAATTTCA